AGGAGCATACTTTACATATTTTGTACTACGCTTATTATTTCAGTCAATATTAATAGTTAATTTTAAATTTTTGCGTTGTTTACACTTATTTTAATTTAGTTCGTTTAGACTTGAAGTGATTGCAGGTAATTCGTACCTAATTTTAATTGCCGAAATGGTTAATAGTCAATATTAGTTTTGTTACTCTCACCGTGATGTTGCTGTTTCTTATACGGGCTAAAATTTTGTTTTCCGGGGGAAAGGAGTTGTTAGTAATGAAAACTGATGGTCCCATGCATAACTTGTGTTCTGCTAACGTATACCGATAGCGCAAGAGGTTACTATTTCATAATCACTCTTAAAAAATCTTATACTCTCTTCCCATAATGTTTTTACCATTCATCCGGAGGAGAAAGGATTGTTAGCAATCAAGTTACTAATCCCAATTGTTAGCAATCTCTGTAAGGTTGACCTCCACATGATCGCCTGTAGTTAATTTGTTACACTAATTGACGTACCTTCGATGAAACAATGGGGATTATCGTTTTATCCTTCGCCGGTGCCCAGCTATATCTTGAGTGTAAACGGGTGCACCATTTCATCTTCATCCATTAAAAAAACAACTATTCATTAATTTTCTCTTTAGTTTTTTTTTTTACTTCGAATCCCTTGACCACAGATTATATATATAATGGCCTCGATTTCAACCTTGCACAATAAAATATTTGAGGATTTTTGACAGTCTTCCGATTTAATTACTTGTCACTTAATTTTTATTAATATGACATACATTCTTGCACAATTTTAATATATTAATTGTTATAATATATTACAAAAAAAATGAGGAAACGTTATTGAAAATTACGTACGTATTTACAAATTAATCCACAAGTTATAAAAATAAAATTTACGAGTTGAAGAGAATTAAAATTTACAGTAATTGATAAAATGCAACTCGGAAATATATACTAAGGGTTCCGTAGATTATAAAAATACATACAAATAAGTAAGTATATCATATCATAAGTCTTAGACATAATATGTATGGCTGAAATCCAATAATGATATTCAAGGAATTAAACAAGGAGTGAAGTCAATCTCTCAAAAATATTCACAGAAACAGCCCAGTCACGTAATCGATTCAGTATGAAATGTAAGGATAAAACAATTAATGTAAATAAACCTTTGAAAGTACCTTAAATGGGCATAACTGGTCAGACAATTATGTAATAATTCGTACAAGTGTTTTATGAATAATATCAAGTTATCGTTACATAATACGAAATGTAAAGGGCACCATTAACACCTAGCGCCTTTATCTGCCAGTTGACCACGACCCTGAATGTGCAAACAATATTATTGCTGCAAATTTAAAATAATTTAAGTACATTATAATATTATTGTTAGCCATAATATTTACAAGCCATAAGAGTCACGAAATGAAATGAAATTTGATTATAAAAATAGGCACTTTCTCTAAAAATTATATCAGGTTAAAACACTCAAAACATTTCTAACAGTTCTGAATGAAAATGTATGGAATACATGAAAATGTCATTGATGCTTTTTTCAATATTTCAATTTTGTATTTTTTTTTACGGGTGATAATGAAATGGTAATCCCATCTGCGCTAACAATAAACTCTGGCGGTGCACCAGTGAGCGATGGTTAGACCGGAAAGACAGGTCAGTTGGTCCATCGTGATGGACACATCTGGAATTCAGCACGATAGTTTTCAGGAGAGACCACATGGGTATACTTTTCATATCTCAGAAGGAAAAATGTAGATTTGGATGGATGTGTTGCAATATGTTTCTAAACCAGGATTACAAAATGATCCTATAATCTCTTGTTGAATTATCTTGTTTGGCATTAGTTTTTAAAGAATTGTCAGTGTCATTAAGTATTAATTTTGTTTACCTATATTTACACGCTCGTAATTCGGATTTAATACACATACTTTAAACGCTTGGTTTTTCTTGATTAAAAACCTGTTTTTCTCGTTGTTTAGTAAAGGATATACAATGTAAAATACGAACGCTATAATATAAACTAAATATCTTTACTAATATCATAAATGTGAATGTGAGTTTATTACCTATTAGCGCTTTAATGCTCAATTAATCTTCACAAAATTTTATACATACATTTGGGACGGAAAAAGACATAGGGTACTTTTATCCCGGGCAATCGGCATAATTGTTCACGCGATCGAAGTTATGGGTATAAGCTAGTGAGAAATATTACCTTAATATTAGTTTTATACTTCAGCTGATAATTACTAAAGTACAAAATACAGTAGTTTTTTTTTAAATAAACAAAAACTTGGTATGGTCGCTTGGTAGCGGCTGCATTCAACATATAATAAATTATTGAAATGAATTATTTTTATATTTTGTTTAGTTTACTAATCCAATATATTATTCATGCATTATTTATATATCTATATAACACAATTTTATTTCTGTATGCTTTGCTTTGAAACAAAACTATCACTGAGCTGTGGCCCATGAGTCACTGCGACTTGAAAACATAGTTTTGTATTTTATCTTTTGTGTTTTATTCTTATATTTATGTAACTTTTAAAAATTTCTAAATTTACGTATGTCATAGATGAGTCAAATAAAGTATTTTGTATAAAACTATCTGTCTAGTGTACAAAACGAAATGAAATCATTAACACTAAGTCAAAATTAATCGGCATTGTGTTAAAAAACGGTATAAATTTCGAGTCTCCCCATACTAACTTGACACATTCGCTGTCAAGATTAAATAAAAATACAATGAAATAACAACATATACAGTATTCGCAATTGCAGTCGAGCTACGAAAATAGCGCGTTCACATACTTATACAAATAAACACATAAAACAAATTTAATAATAATTAATAGTTGAACAACCAGTATTCGCTCGCTTGGTCTAATTCAACTTTATACATCTTGCTATTTTGCATTTTCGTTCACAACATACTAGTATATCTAAGTTGTGGACTGTAGGTATTGCGACAAACAGGTCGTGGCAATCGTGATGTGGTTAAGAATTAAGTTACATGGTCAGTGGACACCCTAATTCCTCTGAGTCTATATTGTACCTAAGTCTGCGGTTTTTGATTTCACAATTTCTCTCTAACAAAAGTAAGTTTTTTTTTTTACTTTATAAATACCAATTACAATGTTTTGGTCAATTATAAGAATAAAATTCACTTTCACTTTAATAATATTGGAAAGTATTGATTAAGATGAGTGATAAAAAAATTTTTTGGTAACTCAAAAATAATTTGGTCAATCTGTTTTACGCAATACCGAAAATAGAAGTAAACGAAGTCTTTGAAGCTACACTAAATGAATCATTCTCTATGAGTTCCTCCTTGAAAGCCAGTCAATAGAGTCATGGACATTCAACTGAAAATCCGATGATCGTACTTAACTTTGGAAACAATATTCACGAAGACTAGTGCTTATGTAGCATAATAAGCTACTAGCTTTTGCCTGCTACTTCATTTAAAAAGTATAAAAATCAATGACATAGACTAGTTCCAGATGCTGTATTGAAATAATACACTACATGTATACATACTACATACATACATTTTTAAGTTAGGCCTTCACTACAATGATTATTTCTTGTAATCGTTTGTATCTATAATAAGTTTACTATTGTAATCTCTTGGAGGGAACAGTAAAGAGTATCTATTTATCTACAGTGAAAATCGTATTCAATTTAGTGTAGTAGTAGTTCTTACGTGATATCGGAAGATTCTCAAAATATTGTTTTGGTTTCTATTTCTCCTATTAAAACCCCTTCCTCACTCCGATATGTAGTCTCTCCAGGTTGTCTGTAAGAGATTGCTTTTAGCGATAAGGCCGCCTTTTGTATATATATATTCTGTATAAATACTCCTTGTATACATCTCTACTGTGTGCAATAAAGAGTTTATTATTATTATTATTATGTATATATTGGGTTCTTCAAGAAAATGATGTAGGAAAAAAAGGTTTTTGTTTTATACAACTTAGAATGGCAAACAAGCTGACGGCCCACCTGATAGAAAGTGGTAACCGTCGCCTATAGATATGAGCAGTACCATGGACATAACAGAGTATACTGTTTCGCCCATGATATCCCCCATGCGTTGCCATTCCTGAGGACTCAGGTGTAATTCCTCTGTACCTAGTAAATTCACGCCATATCCCACCCTTCAAACCGAAACACAGCCATGCAAACACAACTGCTTCACGGTTGAAACACGAATGGGACAGAGGTACCCAAGCGATCGACTTTTGTACAAAGTCTCTCTGATCATCACGCATTTCGATATCGACTATATCAGTCGGATATCTATACAAATTTCGATGATGTTTTTCATTTTGGTATAGTATACTGAATAACCGATATTTAATATATCTGTTATCGTGACAATATATAGATATTGTAACTGCAATATATAGATATTACTATATATGCCCATCCCTAATGTACAGAAGTTACAATTGTATATTTGTAAGATGTTTTGACTTATAACATATTAGAGGTTAAGACCTCTCCTGACATATTTTCAGGCCACTTAAAGTATGTCTAATTTTATACAAAGATAAGAAAAAAGTCGCAAAATGGAATGAAAGAAAATAACAACAATCTAAGAATTAACTCGTGACTCAGTACTAAAGATATTGCACAGTGTAGGTACAGCGTATAGAAGACAAAGGTTATTACATCCATTAATTGTACCTTTGCTTCACTTATTATCGATGTTACACGTGTAAAATATGCTCAGTCCATTGACCATCATAATGATGAAAGTTCTCTGTACTCGTATATCGAAGCGAAATATGCTTGAAATATTGCTTATTGGTTTATTGTGCATATTAATTATACTCGTAATCTGTATCTCAATAGATATATATTTAGTTTAAGTTCAATCAACGTAGTCACAAAATATCTTTCTGAATGTAGTCGACTCGATCATCGCATTACAATAGGCTCACACATACTCGCATGCAATATCAACACTTGCCAGTTCGTTTAGTTTTGCGTAGTCCGTGCGCGGGCGCCGACGCTCTGCTTTCTCGCAAACGCACCTGCTGTCCTCGTATTCGCGATCTATATTATATAAATTGTTCAGTCTTAAAATACATCACGTATCACATAAAAGTGCATCATTAAATAACTACAAATTCACTTCGAAACATTCCCAATTGTGTTCATTGTTTGTTTATCAAGTTAATTAGGTAAGCTATTAGTTCTTTCCAGCGTGAACAGCTTGGTTCCTATTACAAGCGTCGATTTCACTTTCTGTTCAATATGCCGGTGCAATTGGAAATTGTTTGTCACATTAACTCATTCTGGACCCCTCGTGCGGTGTTACGAATAATGATAGCCGATTGGTGTAACAGCCACTCGGCTTATTGTGCGAATCTTCAAAGGCTGGACGGTGGTGTGATAAAATGCTCACGTTAATCATAACCTTGAGACATCGTACTTAACACTCATTGTTAACACTCGTGTGTTTCATGTCTGTAGATTTATAACATTATCCATTTTAATTTTATCTTCATCAATTTTTATATCCCAAATATTTCCATTTCCGAAATCAAATTACTTTATAAACTACCCATAAGTGTAATAAAATATCATTTGAATTTATGATTGAATTATAATGCAATAAAACTATGTCCATTTATTAGTAGATTAGCGATTCGTCCCGGCTTCGAGTGAGTAAATAGATTTTCGAAAATAATATATAATCTATGTTACTTACCCATACTGTAGTTTTCTAGATGGAACAATTATTAAAATCAGTTGAGTAGTTAATCATCCATTACAAACAAACAATCAAATCTTTCTTTTTGTTTTATAGTATTTGTATAGAAGTATAGATGAAAAATGCTATAAGGTCCCAATTTATATACCTAAATCGTTCCCTGAAATGCAATTAAAATTTTTCTTATTAGAGCTGTCGCTTAGTAATATCACTGTTCTAATAATATTTCTATAACCTACGCTAGATTTATAACAGTAAATGACGTATCATATACGGCTCAGTTGCTAGTAGTGAAAGTTTAAAATTCCACTAACAGTTTTCGTGAATGATGAAACATGCAAAGAAATAGTTCCAAATAAATTCATTTTGTTATCAAGTAATTAAATTCACAACCGTGAACTCATTTGTTGACAAATAACCTTTGCAAAAAGACCACGTATGGGACCACTATATTTAAAAAATTCCAGCTTCTAAATCCAGTTTGCAGGGCTTTGATAAATCAGTTAAAACATTTATGTTTAAATGTAGATTTATAAATTAATCTAGTCCTTGGCATGCTTCTTGGGTAATAATATATTCCAATTTAAACTCTGAAACATTTATTAAACAAAAATATTGGTCTATCAGTTAGTGGCCTGCTTATTAATTTTATTAGTAGTATATAAAAAAATAATCGTTTTTTACCTGAGTACGAAGAAGCAAAAAAGAGGGTTCTTAATCTACAATGGATGAGAATCTTAACGCTACGTCATTGATAAATTAATAAATACATATTTCTAAAAAATAATAAAACGCTATTACTTATTTCAAATTTGTTTTATTCACTAGGAGACCAAATAACTTAAATTCAATAATAACAATCTTTTGTCAAAGAATCGTCATCGTCGTAACAACCTGAGTAAAGATGGGAGTCCCTTCTCATCAGATAAGATATTAATTTACTGCGCTGGTCAGGTAGCTTGGCTAAGGGGTTTTCCTTTACTTGCCTGCCATATTTTGTGCTTTCTCTTATCCCTTATCACAGTATCCTTTAGATTAAAAGAGCTAGAGATAGGGACACGTTCCATCCTTACCTCGTCAACCATGGATGCAGTTTGTTACTTGCTTTAATTCACTACATCTTTTGGCTATATTACTTATTCAGGTTCAGTTTGTTATACTGTAATTTTTATTGTCAACCGTGTCGTAATATCGTTCTCTATGATGGCAAAAGTAAACAAATCTACTTTTTGTCTTTGACTTTCGAAAATTCCATTGATTAAATATCGTTAAAATTGAGAAGTTATTCAATCCAAAATCCTATCTAATGCTTGTTTTGCATTATTTACGTATTACCACAAGTACTACATGCCAATTCACCAATCTAGATGATATTTGCATTGTGCTAAATTTTAATAGTGAAAAATAATTTAATGCATATTATACTGCATACAATCTATTGACTAATTAGAAATTAGGCAATATATTCTAAATATGGCATTATAATTTATGATCTAAAGTCGCTGAAACTTTAAAATCTACCTCGTTCAAAAATACGTATAGTTTTAATGTATGAATTGTTGAGGATATCGCTACGGTTTTCATTATGAAAATCAAATCGCTAAATGTTGTGAAAATTACTACGGACACAAAATAATTGACCTCTTTATGAGAAGGAAAAGTGTAAATAAAACTAATCATGTATTAAGTCACTTGCCTAATATCCTGCTCTTATAGTGAGTGGTTCCATACTCAACAATGGGGCTTCCTTCATCATGGACTCATATGAACATGGTGACAATACAATTCTACCGTTGTAGAATGAAGTATTTCTGCTTTCTTTATCATAACATTAATGCAATTGCTACCACTGCATAAAACGTTATTTTTCAGCCATTATAATTATACACTGTAATTAAATACTTTCCAAGGTATCAAAGAACGTTTAGAAAGTAATACTAAATATGTTTTCGTTTTTTTTCTCATTGATTTTAAATAATTATATAACCTCTTACTGATATGACCATTATTGCATATATAACAATTTTTTATTAATAAATAATCCGCATACCCAAAATTTACATGCTGTTCGGATTTATGGAGCGTTCGGATTACAATATGTAGGTATTTTGAAAAGTATTTTTTAAAATAAAACAATGATTTTTGTAATTGAAGTTACCAAAACATTATTAATTTAAAATACATACGAATTATTACACTTTTTTTGTAAATAATCTGTTATGCTTTTTTAGCGAATGGTATTAAATGATATAGAAAATGCTTTATACCTCAATTTACGCAATAGCATTTTTTCTAATAATAATTGATTATCCGATTATTGTTCATTAAATGCAGTCAATATTTCGTTACCATTGGTTTCGTTTTTATTTTTTTTTTCGTGTCATTCTCATTGAGTATATGTTTATTTATTAAGTTTTAAAACAAGTTGATATATGATATATAAGCAAGGATTGATATGACATTGATTGTCAACATTTGACATTGGTTAACTGCATATATAACCATAAGCTTTTATTTTTTATACATGCAAACCTCTAACTGAAAAAAAATACTTTATGGGATTTATCACCTATAGTTGAAAAAAGACATAATCAGTAAAAATATAAATATTTTTAAAATCAGCTATCTTTATGACTGTTAAAAATTTGCCTCTTATGTTTTCAATAATCTTGATTAGATTATTGTCATTAATAAATATTTCAATTACATCGTTTTTAGTTATTTTTTGTAACTAATTAAGATTTTTTGCTCGGAACATCGAAGCGTACATATTATTTATGCAAAAACTATCGGTTAATTTCTGATGGAGCTAGTTATAAGATATCACAATAATGTTTTTGTCTTTATTAATCTATTAATCTCTTCCAACCAATACATAATGTAATTTAAAAAAATCTTCAATTTTAACATAATTATAATATGGGACTATCCAGCACGGAATCATGAAAACGTAGCTCACAATTCGCTAAGTTTTTACGTATTATATAGTAAATGAAGCCCTTTTTGAAATAATATAAAAATAATCGTCCATTGTATTATTTTTCAATTTTTCAAATGATCACTGATGGAAAGTTCCAGCGTCTTCGAACTGTGCTGTTGATAGTGCAAAGATATTTGTGGCTTGATGCAAAAAATATCGACTTCAAGAACAAAAAATTACATACGTTTTTATTATGATGAACTGTAGTATACTTTTTTATTTTAGATAAAATTGAATACAGCGAACAGATTCCCTTATTTTTATTTAAATCTTCAATTGTTCAATAACAGGTAATACAGTGAATAAATGTGTATTTTCGTTTTCAGAAGTTGTCAATTTACAGTGGTGTCATGAATTATTGATAAGTTTACAGTTGTACCCCCTTTAAAGCCCTCATTTGCTTACAATAACGCTTGACTCATTGATCATTGCCTCATTCAGTGTGTGGGATTCTGAAATGTTAGCAATGTCTTAATTGAGTTCACACTCTCAATTTTCCACTTCTTAGAATTTCAGCAGTCAGGTGTGTACTAATTTTTCATTACGTCATATAGTCTAGGAATATAGACTATACTTACCTTATACTAGTTATCAGTTCACTGGTTTAAGCGAGAAAACAGACATATTGATAAACTATTGTGTATATAATAATAGTCATAACTATAGGTCTATATCATCATCATCATCATCATATCAGCCCTTAACTGTCCACTGTTGAACATAAGCCTCCCCCTAGGGTGGTTTTGCCAATAGTTGCCACGCTTGCCAGGCGGGTTGGCAACGGCAGTTAGGCTTTAGAGATGTTTTAAGAGGTACGCTGCTGCCCATCCCTCGCCCTCTTAATCGCCTTTTACGACATTCACAGGAAAGGAGGGGGTGACCTGTACTATGCCGGGATCACACGGCCAATAGATGTATAGTTTAAAATAGTTTCCTAAAATAATAATCATTTTCTTGAACTAATGATAAGTAGAACTAAATTAAGAAAACAAAGAATTTTAAGTAAACGTACCTTGACATGTAATTTATATACCTATTTTGTGTTAAATATAGGTGACATATTATACGTCTAGACTGTCCGCTCCCACTGCCGTCTGTGTGATTTTTACGCACACAATGAAGAAATTCTACAATTACAATTTCAATTCCGGAATCCTGTCGTCCATTATTTATAAAAAATAATCTAACGGTAGCATGTATGTATATAAAACAATTTTGTATTTTTGTTAAAGAACATCCAGAATACTTTCCACTTAAACAGACAACTACAATAAAATCATTACGCAACAGACCCCTAAATAAAATAAAATTACCCATAATAAAATTAACGTTGACGCAAAAAAGTCTATATAATATGGCGGTGAGAATTTTTAATAATCTTCCAAATAATATAAGAACCCTCTCTGGAGTGACATCTTAAAAAAATTGCATGAATGGCTAGTTGAATCGTGTTTTTACTCTGTTAGGGATTTTATGTCGGATTAAAAGGTTGGACATTTGTACATATTATCGTTATATTTTTTAATACATATCTTACTTATTGACTTCTTTATTTTTATTGGTACATCTCATTTTTATTGTTGATCATCTGATATCCAATTGTTATTTATTTTTACTATTTAAACTAATCGGATATATTTAATTGTATTATCCTGAATTATTTAATTAATGTTATTTTATTTTATTTATATTATTTCGTAATGTTTAAATACTATAAAAAATTTTAAAACTAATTTATTGTAATTCTTATTTTCAATATTTGCACGCTTGATCTAAGTAGATTTTGTAAGGTCCTTTTAATTTATAAGATCAAATGTTTTATACCCAAAATCATTTAAATAAAATTATTATTATTCTTTAAAATTTCTCAGCTTTTAGCGCTGGTAATTATACTACACTTACGGGTACGTGACCAAGTAAATGCAGTGTGTATGTTTGTACGGAAGGTTACGCTTGTGTATGACGGGTGGCTACTTCATCCTCGTCTATATTTAGATATAGAATAGTCAGAAAATTATTAGGAATTTTCTGACTATTCTGCAAGTATTTAATATGGCAGCTTTTTGTAGGGAGATGTTGAGATTTTTTCGTAGACCTATTTGTTTTAGACTATGGTGTAAATGGTTGGGAATGACACCTGTAGACGAGAGGACTATCGGTACTATGTAAAATTTTTTGTTTTCAGATTCTTGTAATTTCATCTTTAAGTTATTATTATTTTTATTTTTACATTAACTATTGATGGTTGATGTTTAGAAAATAAAATGCAGAGCTGAATATCCAAAAAGCTTGGTTTTTTATAATTATATTTCATAATAAATGCTGTTAAAATACCAGTATTGCATAAAATTTCCGTCCAATTCAGTTAAAAATTTTATTCAGTTACAGAAATACATGTTAATAAGGTCATGACCTTTTTTTGTCTTTCAATTTGTCACTAAGGTGATAATGGAAATGATTAGTAACAATAGGCATCCTACTTTATTGATTACACATAAGCTATAATATGATATAATAGTACATTAAATATGTACAAATTGTTTATCAAGTCAATGACTGGTTCACAGTACAAACGCAGTATTACAAATATTACAATATCATCGTTAGTACAATAGTGAGCTTTTTTTTATAACCAGTGGCGCTAATTGGACATATGATAACAATTACCTTAGTCTGCTTTAAGAATGCAATGTAATATCGTACATTTGTTTGTAAACGAGGAATTCTCGGGGTAATTAGTTATCACAACTTTGCGGTATTTCTTTATTACTATTACTAGTGCCCCGGCTTCGCACGGATACAATGTGACTTTCCACACTCCACATATTTTTTATCAATTTTATTAAACATTAAAATGGTTATAGAAAGCTATCCATATAATAAAGACATATGCCATCGCAGACGTTTTTGTAGTTCTAATAAAGAGTATCAATTTCATTTTATTTTGTTATATTACCAAAGAATAAGACGGCATTTTCGATAAAAGCTCTCAGTCATCTTAAACAATAATTATCGTCACATTTCAACAAATTAACACAAAACAATATTGAACTATACGTATAAACCTTCCTCGTGATTCACTCTTATCTCTATCCTCTATCGTATTAAAATTCGTTGCGTAGTTTAAAAAATCTAAGTGTACAGACGGCGGGAAGCGATTTTGTTTTATACTATGCAGAGATTAGTATTTTTTTTGTCAAGCGTTATAATTAACTTAGGTATATTTATGTATATTATCGTAATCTTAATTATTGCAATATTTCCTTAACTTCAAAGTATTTATCTTGTCTACCTAATGTGGTGTCACCACAAGGAATGTTCTCTATCGAACTGGATCATATATTTATGTAGGATTTGTTCGCGACTTTGTTTGGGGATAGTATTTAGGTTTTAAAAACAATAAAACTTTTTATTTCTTAGTAAAAAACTATATTTAAAACTTCGCCTTCCTAACTTAAAATTAACAAAGGGTCTAGCCGTGTTTCCTCAAAAATTTGCACTGGCGACTTTGTTGACATTGGTGCCTTTAATATAATGCTAGTAATTGGAAATAATTTTTGACCAATTATATTATTAAACCCCTAATTTTATCCGTTTTTGAATAATGGGAGCTGCAATCCCAAATTTTATCAATCAATCAACATCCTCTTTATATATATATGTAGTTACAATTCAGTTTTTAAATTAATTTATAAAAGCCAGATAACAAATAGGTAATCTTTTTTTCTAATGTAAATAAGTTTATAAAAGTCATAGTAGTTATTATATACTAATAATACCTGATATTGATTGGGTAAACTTACCCTTAGAGGAGGTATATTAGGTAAATCTTTGGAAAATTTTCTAATGGTAATTAAAACCGTATCTACATCAGATTTATTTTTTTCCTTTAATAAATGTAAAAATATGGCGAACAGTGTTTTTACTGTAGTGTGAACGACTTCTCTGTAGATAGTAGGTACGTCACCCGTTTTCTGTTTTTTCTCATTGTGAGATCTTAAAAAAAGTCGTAAATTCTTATCTTACTTATCGTCCTTCGTTTCTAATTTTAATCACTCATTATAAAGTTACAAACATATGGTAGATAATCACGCCACATCGCGTGTCAGTCAGGGGTCAACTTTTGTTTTGTTGTCATGCATACGTTAATAATGTCATACATACATCAAACCGCGTGATCGCACAAAATCTGGATGTTATTGTAGGTATATGTTGTGATATTTTAAATGATCTAACAAAATGGACTATTCTATTCTACTAATAATGTTATTAATGAGAAAAACAAACATTCGAAATGTTTATAATGTTAATTACTCAATCATGCTGAACAGATTTGAATGATAAATAATAGGTGTACAATTAGACGAGGATATAGTCTATTTAATCTTAGGAAGATTAGCACATAAGGTAATTTATATTGATATACATTTATTATATCTATTATATTAGATATTCATATCCGTAGTGATGTACTCGTGAAACTAAAAATTTTTTTATTTAGAAATAGGCAACAGCATCGCTACTTTTATATAATATTATAGGTAGGAACTACAATGAAAATACGTTAGATGCATTCTGACTAAATAGATATAATTAACATCATACTCGTAATTTGAGCATCTTGCATATTTACGTTATTTTAAATAAAATATCAGTCAGGGCATTACAGGTTATGTTAACATTATTTACTTGTCATCTAAACGTGAACTTATAGTGCAAGTTTACACCGAGTTGATAACTAACTCCGAGCTCGAGATAGGTCAGTGTTAACCCGCTACTGCCAACTTGTAAACAGAGTCTCATCGAGTTTAGGTTACTTATTTAGCCATTCCATCGTCATTAGTGGTAAATTTCTCACTACTGAACGTGGGCCTCTCCCATAAATTCCCAAAAAGAACGACCTTGAGGTCGCTACACCCACTGATTCCCTGAAACATATTTGAAATCATCGTTCCATCTAGCTGGAGCATTCCAATGTTTAATTAATTCTAAACGCCATACTTTGATAACTAAAGACACCTTATAAATATTTCCCCGATATAACACGGACTTTGTTCAGTTCAATAGTTCATAATTTTATCACAATTAGGTCGTTCTTGTTAATTGTTGTCCATTATATGACAACGTGTTTTACTAATGAACAAGTGTGCCTCTTTTACGGCCACGCGATTATCGGTTCGGTGTACATTTATCGTTTGAAGAAGATTCTCTCAGTGTCAATTTGACCGTGGCATCGTACGGTCGTGTGGGTTAATTCGTAGTAACTACATTCCATCGATATCGAATATTAAATCGATTTTCTAATAATAAATAAATAAATGTCTTTAAATTTCAGTGATAAATCGAATTGAGGAACTTTATGAAACAGAATTTTTACATATATATGTTATCTTGCTTAAGATAGACAGTCAAAATTGACCAGTTCAGTGAAGTGTTAAATTGTACTGTGGGTGATGTAGTGGACTTTGAGGGCTGGAACTGGAACTGTAGCAAGATGGATACGATGATAAATGTTTGGACGATGGTGGAGCACGTGAGGGTGTCCAGCGGAGCCGCAGAGTTGGCCATCTTCACAGCTATACTGTACTGGTTCTTCACTTCCAGGTTTGTTATTTCTAATGCAATAGTTTAACAGCTATTTACCAGAACCATATTAAAATTTCCCGTTGACGTCCCTATGTTCTTTACGTAAGAGTTTACTATTAACGTACTGGTCAGGTGGCTCAACATAATATTTTCTTTAATTTTTCATATTCTTGCATTGGTCGTTAAGAATTTCGAATTTACGACTTCTAAAATATTCTTCTAGTAATTATTTATGATAACATGATGTTTAGTAAAAAAAGGTAACACATTATATTAATAATGATTAATCGATTTATTATGCATAGCCGATTCAAGACATAGGGTGGGTACTTTTAGTTCACAGTCAAAATTTCAATTTTTTCCTAACTTTAAAACTCTTAATCAAACTGTTAAGAATATAAAAATTAGCCAATTAGTCTAGCGGTGTAAATCCAACAAACGTTATTCTCCTCAATTTTTTTTTTTGGTCTATTCAACTTAAGCCTAGGTATATTTAAAAAAAATTGTTAAATCAAAAAACAAAATTATGCACAATAAAGATAAGAAAGTAATTTTTATTGTACAATATATAAAAATACAAATCTATATAGTTAATGTTTAGTATTTTTCTTTCAAGATAAATTCTTAACTTGAAAGAAATTAACAAAATACATTATTTTTTAATACACTTATTTTATAAATATCTACAACACTACATATTTTAAATATAGTTAAAATTAGTTTAAATCCATGTACTTTCTAAACAAATTATTAGTGATATGTTATGGAATCAAACTATTAATTGCTTAATTATCATAAGTTGTTACGCTTTTAAGCGATTCCAAAAATATTTGAACACGATAGTACGTTTTTGTATGTTAAGAGCTTAAGATATACGTCTTTTTTTTTTTCAAAAATCGTATAAAAGTTTAAATGCTGACATCGTTAAAACCATGTTATATTACGTAAATATGAAACAATGATCAGGCAATTGGCATAATGAAATGTCAAGTTTTAAATAAAAAAAAAAATAGGTAAAATAGTAAAGAAAGAAATATTTTTATTCAAGAAAACAAATTTAAACTTTTTTAAATAGTTATTTCTACCGCGTATTCGAAATGCAATTTTGGCTAAGAAGAACGGTCTCTGTTCTTGCTTCAATGTTTATCAATGTGTATTTCAGTCAAATATTTAATTTTAACATCCTAATTAATAATATTTTATTAAATGCGGGTTATTAAATGATAAAATTAATTTAAAACAGATTACCTATATAAACAACTATAAATTGAGATTATTACTAATTAATTAGTATAATAATTACTTAATGAGTATCATATTTATAATATATTTTTAATTATAAGCACAATAATAAACGTTCTAATGACTAAGTATAATTCCTAATGGGGTAGTAGGAAGCACATGTCGATAATAATATATTATTTACAATTTTAGTTATAGTCATTAAATTTTTATAAAATCTAAATACGATTATTTGATATTGAAGTATTTTCTGTTTTACAATAAAAATAACTTATAATATTACAATTCATAATAAAAACTTCCAGTACTAATACTATTAAATAAAAGATATCAAAATGTACAAATAGTAAAAAATTAAACAAGCAGGCTTTGCACAATAAAAAAATTAATAGAGCTTTTAATCTTGACAATAAACTTAATAGGGGACCAACAAATTTGCCAATCATTCTCAATTCAGAATTAATGAATATTAGTGCGTAATACAAGAAAAGTATTTTTTTAGAAACCGCTTATGATTAAAATAATTACAATCCTATTTTAATATTATAAATTTAAATGTTATTTTAGCGATTTGCATATTTGATACCCAATTGCCTTATAAATTTTGAACAAATTTGAATATTTAGTACGCAGATACATAGAATTTGATACAAAAACGTATCCTAGACTATAGTTATAACCAACTTCACCAGGGCAAAGTCGCGAATCACAACAAACAATTTAGCAAACTATAAATCAGATAACATTACGATAAATAATGAAAGTCAATGTAATGATAACAATCCGCGTGAATAATCGTTATAAAGTTCAAATATAAATTATCTGGGTCCATAAGTATATTTTGCTCCACAAAAAACCGCTATATTAATCGTCAACATATCTGAATTTAGACTTTTTTATACTAAGAATAGCAAACTAACAGACGGACCACCTGGAGAGTGGTAACTATCGCCTCGAACCACTCCAGACAACTTGTGTACAAAGTGTTAGGATATAAGTATATATATCCTAAAGCATCTTTACTAATATTATAAATAAAAAAATAGTTTGTGACCTCTTTACGCCTTATCAATCAATCTGAGTCTGAGTTACATGAGTTACTGATAATATATACTTGCACCAGTTATTAAATTAACCTATTACCTACTAGATTAATAAATTTGCTAAAATAATTGTAGCTATTTTTTCATCGTGATGTGATAAATAGTTGCTTGTTTATTTCTAGATTTACTAGCAAATACTTTAGATAACAGAGTTTTAGACCATCCCAAATTAATTATATTTTTATTATACTTACTTAACTCAGACTTATTATATTATAGATATGATAACTAAGTTTTATTATATCGTAGATTATTCGCATAACTTAAAACATATTACATAACATACTTAAATTATTACTGTTTGAACTATTCTCGTACTTACTAAGTTTAAAAATCAGTCCATAGCCTCTTAGCCTAATGGTTAACCTAAAGGTAGTGAGAAAGAATTTAGCAAACTAAGAACTTTGGTAAACACGTATATTAAGATACTAACAAAATGTTAAATAATATTGACCGACATAGATAATAATTCTGGAATATTTTTATTATTTTATCAAAAAGATCAAGAGAGAAGGATTCAAAATTTGAATCACGAGTTCCTACTTAGTTACAAGTTCAATTTTATAGATTAGGGAATTTGCAGTCGTCTGTCACTATCATCGTGTTCTATTTATTAGTACATCTATATACACATGTATGAGGACACTTTGTATATTTTAAAATTGTATTACAGAATTATCTATCAATAAATCAATTACCGTTATAATTTTTTTATATGATACTCAGTTCATACATATAAAAAGGCGTGTACTCGCGTGCTCGCGTTAATGAACTAAATTAATAATACTATCACGGAAATATAGCCATCATTTGTTGTTACGCATCACCTATAAACATGATGTATTTTGAGCCTGTAACTGTTTCATTGGTTTTCTATTGGTGCTGCAAATTTTTCTTTTACTTTTTGCCGACAGCCAAAAATTTCTGTCTGCGATGTTGATTTTCACAGTTACCAATGAGGACAAATGAGGATGTAGTCAGATCAGTTTGGCGAACGAGACATGTTCACCAAGTACTAATCATGATGGTTTTCAAGCGAAATCGGAGGTCTTATAAGGTATATTGCTAAGAGTATTGTTTGATTTTTTTAAAAAAGATAAAGGCGACAAGCTGATTTTCTGTATCATTCAATTTACAATTTACTGTTTTTTCCTCTTTACGCAATTATATCCAAACCAAACCTTTATGCCAACTACAATATACCGTATATTTCGGCCCAATTACTCACAGATTCTATCGCATTGTTGCACTGCGTTTGAATGACAGCCAAAACTTTCGGTCTTGAATTTTTATAGTGAATACATGTTTTTAAATATAAATAAACACTAAAGCTATAATGCAGTCTACTCATTTTATACCATACAATGGAAATCGAAATTATCATGCTTTTAAGGTAATTTTTTACCAGTACTCTGAACTTTTGTTTTTCACAGAAATATGTGACGAAAAACAGCTTAACAAATATAGGTTATATTCTAACATGACAGCTAGACGTGTCGTGTGGACATTCAAAATTTATTATTATGTTTTAACTTTGGGAAAAATATAAAATTTTATTGGTAGATTATTTTAAAACGACATTAATATCCTTTTAAAGACAATATTCAATTGCACCTATAGAATATATAACATTGCTATAGTTTGGATTCAAAAACAAAGCACCAATGATGGTGGATAGTTATGAGTGAATAAAAGATCAAATTTCACCACATTCTCATTAATTAGTGAATTGCTAGTACTATTGTCATCCCTGTTATGTGTGATATAACCTATTGTGTTATAGTAGAAAGAATGTAAGGAAAAGCAAAGAGTCTGAAACTTGGAAAACCGTTAATGTAATTAGTAATTATTTATATTTACCGGTAGAGAATGTTTCTTGAGAATTATACCCGAATGCCCTTTAATGTAGAACATAACTATCCCATAACAAATAAAACCAATCAAGTCATTATCAACATGTGAACCTGAAGTGTTTGTATTATTATAAATATGAAAATGAGTTTGGTTGTTTGTCACCTTATAGCGCCTTAACGAATCACTATGATTGGTGTACACGTACTATATGGGATGGAAAAGGATATAGGTTATTTTTATCCCGATCAGTAAACATCACGTCACGTCACGAAATCGTGGGGAAAAGCTGGTGCTTACATAATCTATGACCGTTGATCCATAATATATCCTGCATATTTGAGTAAGATAACGAGATATTATAGAACCTTGAACTTAAATATCTCAGCTTCGATTACTCCGATATCACTCACGGTAACTTAATAATCCTACTTAAATATTTACTTAAGATAGGAGCACGGAATTGCATTAAAGTTATCAGTGACCGCTACAAAAAATGATACCACTGGTCCATACACAGTTGCATCCATCATTCATACCTACATCTGCTTTTTTATCATTTTTTTTTTCATAATAATTAATTAAGTGTCATTATCTCTTCTTATGCTACAATTTTTGAAGACAATGTTTTTACCATATTTTATAAGACATTATTATATTTGCAGTGATTATAGGTATTTAAAAATCTTTGAATTTTAATCATTATAAATTTTTTAATATTATTGATGTTTTTATTATCCACCTTTAAGTATATGAGATATAGGAATAACACTTTGGCTGCTTGCATTCATGGACCATAATTATTGTCTCTGCGTACAGAGCGCTAATGTGATCATAATGTCATGATAATATATATAAAAAAAAAAACTTCAATTTATTTAAAAATTACTTAAATATAAAAAAAAAATATTAAAAAAATCTAATTGTAATATTGTTTTTTTTTTCTTCTTTTCTCTACGAAATAATACACCAGCAATTGCCAATACAAAAATAATGGAAATTGCTGGAAAGTTGTCGTCTTCATCTTCAAATCTTTATTATATCCTTGCGAATTAAAAAAAATACTATGCACATATCTACCAAAATATAATTTAACGGTCTTATATATCGTTTATTTTAAAATAACTATGAGTATTCGACTTTGCCTCATCTTTTCAATGTTACTTAGCCGACAATTGCTTTCTTGTCGGCCTTGATAATAATGTATTATTTTTTCTTATATGGATCTTTCAATCCAGGTTTTCATTGTTACAGTCGCGTCGCCGACATGCTGGAGGTGGTCGGCGAACGCGTCGGCGGGTGGTGCAGCGGCGGTGGGCGCGACACAAGCAGCTCCTTACGACAGGCGGTGCGCGCGCGCCGCCGACACAACGACGTGTACACGAAATTGGATGCTGACGCCGCGGTGAGTACTTAGCTAGAAACGCAAAGACCTTCACATACAGTACCTGTATTTAACGGATACGTGCACCGACTATCAAGGAAAATTCTCGAATAACGACCTCATATTTAAAGCCACAGTCTAGAATCACAGTTATGTCTATTGATTAGACAATTTGATTTTATTACAATAAATATAAATACATTATAAATACAAATAAAAACAATTATTAGTTCAATCGTGACAAAATTAATATTGACTGTAATCTCTTTATTCTGTTCTACAAATAAAACCAATAAAACTACTCAAAAAAAAGAACTTGATTCACTGATCAAATAATTTGGTCATATATATTATTACATTTTGAAAATTATATTAAAATTTTGCTTAACAAAAAAAGAACTACAGCTTCAATCGTGACAAACTGTAAATCTTATCCATTCCCAACACGAGAATATTAATTCTCACATTAAGAACCTTCTCCTTTTGGATTAAAAAAATTAAAAAACACGAACAATACTTTTGTCGATCGTCCACACTGTGAACATAAATAGTACTCGTAACTGACCCTTACAGACGATTATTTATGATATAAATAAAGCAGTTGTAATATAACTTACCTATTCAATAACTTTATCACCTAATAAATCATCATACAACGTAGCAATTTGATTTGAACAAGTCGTTACGTTATCTGTTACCTATGGAGATAGATATAAAAAAATTATTGCTCCAGCAAAGGATCTATCTTGATCTTGAAAATTGAATTATATGGTGGAAGAAATAGTGAATAGTACTGATGACACTTCGTTGTTTTTAAACTTAATTAATTGTTGTTTAGAATTTTTGACTGTTTCTCTATACCTTTATGCACGCTAACCTCAGAAACGGCTTAACCGATTTGAATGCGGTTTCACTAATGCGTTGCGGTTTGCTCCATTTAACATTGTTTTATTTCGATTACTTTATAAATGAAAATGTTATATCAATTTAAAGAATAACCACCCGTGCGAAGCCGGAGTAGGTTGCTAGTTTAATAATATTCTTATAGAAATTGTTAATCGAGTGATTTTTCTAGGTGTTACTATTAATTTAGTATTGCAGTAGGGTGTCTACATTTTTTAATTAGTTATTAAGATTAATTCAGCTGTATATGCAATTGTAATAATAAAGCAATTAACAGACGTTTAGTAACCAGGTAATAAATATCACTTACATTTAAAGTAAATGTCATACCTGTACAAGACACTGCTGTAAAACAAATCATTCTATATTTATTTTACTAGAGAGCCATCGTTCTATTTATGGAGAGGAATCGAGGGAGACAGAGTATGCTTTAAGAACTTAAATAACCTCGCACTTGCTTCTCATTTCAATACATTTACAAGAACGTTTTGTCAGTATGTATATAAGAATGTAATATTGCTGGTTTAATAAACAAATAATGATTGCACTAAAAATAAAGCATACACAGTAAAGATAAATTAATATTATCTAAATGCAATTTAACTAAGGTTGTAATGCTTTTTATGGAAAATACCTATCTTATACGACGCGACGTATTTGTTATTTCTGAATCAAATTTGATAATGATTTGTTCAATTGATAGGGTTTACTCCTTTCCATTTCAAAAGTCGCTGGTTTTTGCGAAGATAAAGCTTGAATTACGGGGGATTAAATTAAGGTCAGTGTTGCAAATTCAGTTACAATGAACAAAACGTGAATAGACTCAAATTATAAAGGACACGTCCGGCGTCACTTATTTCATGACACTTGCCGCGACCTCTGTTCTCACGAACAAAATATAATCCAATTGTATCATTACCTACATAAACCATTATGTAATGATACAACTGGATTTTATGTCGTTGACTTCGCAGTGACGATACTGTTAAGTCAAGTATTTTACCGCTGCTCTTGTTGTCTGGATTTTTTTTTTCTTTGTTAGTTTTGCTTAGTCATTGAAATGGATATTGTTTTCTGGCGAATTTTCAAGTAAAAGTTTCTCTGTTTATCTGTATTTTTATAATTTTTTTTTCAATCAATAAAGTTGTTTCATGTTAATTTTGTGACTATAAATAACAGCACAGCTTAAAAAAAAACAGACGCGTTGTTTAAACAACTAAAAATAAAATCTGCTTACTTTGAAATAAAATGTACTTGATTGATTGATTGATTGATTGATCGACAATTTGTTCTCATATCTATGTATTTTTTATATTGTCACGATTAAATCAACCTTTTTTTTATAGAAAAAAAATTTACTTATTTCACAAATATTGTTTGTATTCGTCGATTGACCACAATGTTTGACCAAATAGCTTACTTTAGTTTTGCTTCAATTATTTGGTTAAATTTGTTCATTTAGTATATACTTATAACATAAAAATCTTATAAAAAATGACAAACAAATGTGTGTCCGCTTGTATTGAATAGAAAGAACATAAGCGTAGTTTAATCGTCAATCAACACGCTGATCATTGCTGACAAATGTAGTCGCAAAAACTGGTATATTAAAACTCTTATGTCAAGAGTGAAGGCCGATAGTAGTGAGTAATGTGAGCAAATTTGCTACATAAAAAGTGATATGTTAAATTAGACTCAAGTTATAGCGTGTAAAGTATCAAAACTCGATGAAAAATTCTCTTTAGTTAATAATAGCGTAGTAGCGGTAATTTAGACTATAGTCTACGGACAACGGCATTTTATATTATGTACATAGATTTCCATATAATTATCTATTGGAATCTAACGTACATTACATCGCAATATCATACGATTAATGTTAAACTATTAAGTCTATAGATTACTTTATTCCAATAATTTTAATTATTCTTTAGGAACTTGTTGTTGGGTGTATTTAAAAATTTTATTTTTATTATTTTTACATATTTTAGGGTTCTAGGTACTCTGATGATTTCTCTGATGTTTTAACATCTCCAATTTTTAAATGTTACGCACAGTCACCCCATCGCAGTTTTATTTCATTCGAAATAGAAAGTTTATAAATATATTAAAATAGTGAAATTAATTTAAACTCAAATTTACATCTGGACAATTTAATAGCATTAATTACCATTTATAATTGCTGAGTCGACCTTCGTTGCTATACGATTCTGTTTGTTAATAGATCATATTTCTTTGAAGAAAATGTTCTGTTTATCCAGGAAAAAGGTTTAAAAGGATGCTACAGATTTCGATTTTACTCGGTAAAAGGGTGGGTACAAATGTGGATTCTGAAGAGAGTAACCAGGTGGAAGAATTGTGTCTTACACAATGTTGCCATGTGAAAACGCCTGTTTGTTGTGCTTTGCGTGCCAGTCCAATTATTGTTACAAGAAGAAGTGTCATAAGGGCCATAATTTTGTATAATATTGTATATTAACTGTGTTGCCATTTTCCATCACGCGATTCAATATTTTTTTTTTATTGTGATTGTAGCACAAAGAAAAAAAAATTGTTTTGAAATAATTTATACGTGTGTCATGTACTTTTAGATTGGTTTAACAGAAATTCTATCATAATCAGTTCAGTAGTTTAATTTTTAAATGAAAATAAGTGGTTTTGCCACGACTGATGTCGGTATTTTTTTTTTGTGAAACCAAATTATAATTTGTAATGTTATTTAAATAAATATAATTCATGTTACTAACTACTTATATATAAAGAGGCAATATATAATTAATTTAGTTATACATGTCAACACGCTATCGCATCTGTCACGAAATATCTCTTGTTTACATAACTTATTTCAAACATCAGTGTTGAATTTGATATAATAAGTTGCTTTGTTATACTGTTCTACTTTTGAGCAAGTAACTAATTTAATTCTTTACTTTTGTGAGAACTTTTAGGGCTTCATATCGAATGAGTTTGCGCTGTTACACATACGCAATTGTACAAAGTTTGTCATCAAAATGGGAATAAACATTATGTTTAATGGTCATTATTATTATAACTTACTTAATCAGTTATTAATAGGAATAGATAAATTTGATATATATTTACGTATTATTTACGCCATCCATAATATTTACGTAAAACCTTATTTTTAGATGTTTTTAATATTTTATTTTTAGAATTAATTATACAATGCATGTATGCTACAGACGTACATAATTATATAATTGTTCATTTGTTTTTGTCACTGAAGTAATAATTGTTTTTTTATGTCATAACTTGCAGTCTGAAAGAAAAACATCCAACAGATACGTAAAAAATACGCTACGGATCTTAAAAACAAATTCTAAATAATACACACATTGTAAATAATCTTGCTACTTTAGAATTAGCATAGAAATGAATATTTTAATATTTATTTGAATAACAATATTTATTTTGAAGTAAATAATAGTACCAACGCGGGCATTAGTCTTTATTAGTCCTATTTCTATCCTTTATGTATTAACATATATGATAAATATTATAAGTATGGATGGATGGCCAAATTTTGAACTATATTATTACTAATTGACCTGGCAAACGTTGTTTTGCCTCGTATCGCTAATTACCATATCCATTTTACCTTATCGGGTCTAAAACTGTTATACCTTTCAAGCATAAAAGTTTACAAAATTTCATTAAAAATCGGTTCAGCACTTTCGTAGATTACCGCCAACGAACATCGTGACATAAGTTTATATTAATATAAGCAATAACGAAAAATAAGGGTTGTTATTGACTTCTCTTTTCAAAACTTAAGTAAAGACGTACTTTATCCCCAATGTTGAAAGAGAAAGTAACGTAACTTATTTTAGAAATCGTGATTAAAAATGTTTAACATAACATTCGCTTCCACCTTCAATGCTCACTACTGCAACAACGTGTGTGTGGCACTTGTGCCCTACGTTGTCGAAGTCATCTCGATTTACCTTTAGTGCTTTCGTTACCCAAGTATGGATTGTAAGTGTCTTATTATTTTGTCTACAGGCTAGAACAGCATCATTGTACAGAGTCAAAGAAGGCCCCGTGGTGCCAGCTCCGCAACCGGTGTCCCGCCCCCCAGCAGGACTTGCATGCGCCAGGTGCGCTCCCATATCCAGAGTGAGTAAACCTTATTTATACTATTGATAAAACAGATTCACATTATATCACTTACACCTTACTTTACCGATCTGACAGAGCTGTACCTACTGTTTTAATAACAATTTATACGATGAAAATACCGGTCTTTGGTCGGTAACTGTAGTAAGTCAATAACTGATCTAACATAAGTCTGTCTTTATTTAAATATTTTTGATAATTTTGTTTTGAACACCATCGTTTTGACAATGTTAGATTTGACTAACTGTTAGATAATATCGGGATAATTGATGAGACCGGGACAACCACATTTCTTCCCTAAAATAGTTGTCTTATAAATCTGACAGCGAATTTAATCATTTAAAAAAATAAATAGGTTGAAATAAGATTGATAGATAATTGTGTATAGTCAGAAGATATAATTAATTATCAAATTGCCGTGTGGTCCCGGCATAAAATGGACCATCTCTTTCTTTCTCGTCAGTGTCGTAAGAGGCGACTAAGGAAACTTAATGATCGAGGGATGGGCAGCAGCGTCCCTTTTAAAACATCACTGTAGCATAATTACGAATACCAACCGGCCTGCCAAAAGTGGTAACTACTAGCAAAACCCCATTTATAGAGGAGGTCTATGTTCAGCAATTGTTAGTTAACGCCTTTTATAATGACGATGGTAATAAATGATGTTAACAAAGTAGAGTCTTTTTCGAACTAGGTTTTCGATATTATAATCTAAAAATATTATTTTGTACATCAATATGCTCGTTATAATATAAATAATATGAAGTTCCATTATAAAGACATATATATATAGAGAATCTTAATTCTTTATTCTTAAGATAAAATTTTCATTTCTGATTCATAGCCATATGAAGAGCTGTCATCAATCTTTGATCATCCTGAAGAATTTCTTCCATCTCATTAATTCTGCTGTGAAAATAGACTTTTCCATTATAATTAGTAACGATGCGCAGTATACTCGTATTCGTTATCGCTTAGTTATTCACAGTCCTATCACTTGAACTCTGTACAAGGTCCAATAACACGAATCTACATAATTATAAATTCTAATGCACGGAAGTTTTTTATTATCAAACACATTGTTTATATATAATATATTATTTATTATTTTATTATAAAATGGACTATAAACAAGTTCGCAAAAATAGTACATTGACCTTTAATGTTCTTGAATCTTATAGACTTTTTACTATGTACATATCTCTCTCTTTCTCCTTCCTCTTTTGTATATTTTTATTATCGAAACAAATATGAAATTTTAATATAATAATGAAATATAACTTAACGTTTCAATAATATCCTTCCGTTAATTAATATAAACAATATCCAGTGTAATAATATAGTTTCTAAATATGGTTTATCATTAAACCCATAAACTACCATACAAATATCTTCATTAACTTTAATATTAACATTTTTACTTAGTGACAAATATAATATACTTATAAGTACACACTGTCTAATTTATTGTATCATGTACTTAATGTACTATAATCTAAAGCCTTTTGTTCTAAAGGTATACTTTGCCCTCTCTGATAACTTTTTTTATGATCACAAAACTTGATTTATTTATTACTAATGTTGTTATTAGCTTGTTTATTTATTATATACTATTTTTTATTGCATTTTATTAGGTAAATTGTTTATTTTACATTATTTTTATCGTGCCATCAACACAATGTTGTTCCGATAATAGCAGTAGAGTTAGCTAGCCACTGTATTGTCGGGGCCAACAGCACGGAAAGTAGGCGCTCTGAATACCAAGCGAACGTTCATTGGTTCGATATCGTTTACTCATTAATACACCATTGCATGTATAGTCTATACCATTCTATGTTTTATTACTTTATATATTTCAACTATCCCATATATGTTTAATATAAAATTTTAGTCATATAAGCCTGTCGCTTAATTAAATTATTGACGATTAATTTTACAATAGCTTAGAACTAATCTAGCGAAATTATTTTGTGTCTACTATTGAAAACTTAGGCATTTTTTGTCTGAAGTTCTTTTGGAAAAAATGTTCAAAATCACTAGAAGAGTATTTATTCCCTTTAAATAATGCAAAATTTTTATCATCCTGTGATATGTTTGTATATCATATCAGCCGTTAACTGTCTTTTGCTGAACATAGGCTTCTCCATAAGAAGAGTTTTGCCAGTAGCTGCCACGCTCGGCAGGTAGGTTGGTTGTCGTAGTTAGCCTTTGGTGATAAGAGGGACGCTGCTGCCCATTCCTCGACCATTAAGTTCTATGTTTGTGTAAATCTATGATCAATTCTTATGTGTGTATATATGTATGAATGTAGTATGTCTCTTAGACTTTAAATATTTATGTAATGATTTAATCAACTTCAAAAAGAAGGAGGTTCTCAAGTCTATTATTTTTTTATATTTGTTACCTCATAACAGTAGTAAACAGATTCGGAAAGTTCTTTTTTATCTTATAATACAGATTGGTCCCATAGAAAATCCAGTGGTTTAGTTTTTAAATTAGAATGACTGGGTTTTTCCAATTGAAGTCGGTTTTGTTCTTGTGGAAAACAATCTTTAATTATTTAATAAGTATTTTCAATGGAAATTGCCTATTCTCAATTATATATCCATAATAAAGTATAATAAACAAACTGTTAACGTTTGATTAAACTCAGTTTTGATAATATTTGTGTGAACACAAAGAATATAAGGTCCCAATGTAGCAGTTAAGTAAATTAATACTAGCACACATATTCATTCACACAGTATGTTTTATATTTCGGATTCGCATAATACAGGATTTAAACAGTGTCAATGTGCCGATTAGCTTCCAAGCGTCTTTTGTTTTATCACAGTCACACATTTCTTTTGTCTCCATTTATCTTTTACTCTTTGTAACGATTTGTTCTATAATTATAAACAATTTTACCAAGACAAATCAAATGACTTCAAGCACGACGGATTTATCATGCGTAGTTTACGAGTTTCTATGGCCACCTACCGTCTTTATGATTAGACCAGCTTGATGGTACCATATTATCCTATTGTCACTGAATTTGCATATTTCAAATTACATACGTACACTAAATTTCGGTACAGTTGATCGTCAAAAAGTGTTTAAAAATAGCATGTAAATTTTTAATAGAAAATCTTTTATTGAAATCAAGTTAAAAGCTTGTAATAAAAATATTCAATAATAAATAAGTAATATAATAAACTAAACTACACTTTTCATGACAAAATATAGGTATAAAAACTTAATATTCATTTGTAATATCGTCTTCTTAATTACTCGTTCTTTGTTCAATGATAGTATTGACGAAGTTTTACAAAATACTGTGATGTGATACATTATATAATAAAGGTAGGATATTGTTCTCAGCATTACGTATAACAAAAAGATGACGAGTGTCTAATCCAACGTTGAAATTCAATAACCGTTATGCTGTGATCGACTTAGCCATTTAGTCCAACGACCGCAGCGACAAGGTTAGTTTGACTGACAGTCATCAGAGACTCACCAAATAATATTGTAACCTATTTTGCCTACGTTGTTTGGAATATTAATGTTAATATTATAACTAAACGTAGTCCATGGTAACTTCATCTAAATATCCTTTCAACGTTCCTCGAACTGTTTTTTGTGTTTTTCTGTTCAAATATTTATGACTAACTTTACCATAAGAAGAACTGACTGAACTTAATCTTTTTACGTGCTATTCTGTCTATCCATATTTGTCAAGCCTTAAAATCTACAATCTTTTCAATCTAAATTTAGTATAAACCTCTCGAAATACCTCTACTACATATCAAATCATTACTATTTTTATTGATTTTCAGTAAATTTTACAGGACTAATAGACTTGGATAAATATGATTTGTTTTCGTTTGATCAAAATACTTGCATTTTTAATTGTGATAATTAAATTTATTATTAAAATAAATGTAGAGAGGGTCACAATGGAAATAAACATTTTTAGGAGCAACTATTTTGTATTAGCAAAAACATATGTACCGATACAAGTCATAAAAACAATTTAATAGACACAAAATGCAATATGAAAAATAATATTCACATATACATGTTGTCAGACATAAATTTACATATTGATAACAAAGAAGTTTTAATAAAATGTTGGCGTACTTAACATAATTTATTCATCACTTGTGATCACAACCAGTGTATTGCACAAATACCTTCTGTACAACTGCATATATTTTATTAAAATTACCTTTATTTAATTGTATAATAGAAGAAAAGTGAATCTACTATAAATCTTTAACTACTTACAAAATAAACTTAACTGATTCTTGAATTTTTTTTTTTTTTGTAAATATTTGAAATACCAATAATGTTAATCTTGTATTAAACATTGTTGATGTTACAAATTATAATCGTTATCGAGAAATTGTAAAAATGAATTTGCATAAATTAATAAAAACAATGGATAATTTACTACTCTTCAGTTCTATACGATCGTTATGTCTGCAGTTGTCTATATTCAAGGATTCGTTTATAATTATTGTAGTTACATTTATTATTATCATAACATTTATAAATTCAGAAAAAAACCTTTCACAAATTAACATCACAAAATATAGATAATCTATAGAAAATCTATAGAAGCTCTAGAAATCTTGTTAATACTTTAGTAGATATTTAGTAGGTAATGATTCAGTACATTTTATTTTTATTCTTGAATCTGTCCAAGGTCGAAAGAGAATACAAGGGAGGATGCACGTACTACTATTGGTGTAAAGGTCGACAAACGGTCAGCCTTCTCTTTGTTCATGTTTGTCCACAATTCCTGTGACTCAGCCGGAAAGCAAATGTACACATGGACTTGTATAGAACTTGACAAATTTGTGTATTTTTATTATTCTGCATTGTGTATAATGTTTTCTTCATCAAATTTTTAATTAATTTGACATAAGTAGATATTACTTATATAAACAAACTATAATAAATTATAGAATCTAATCTACATTTATTATTATAGGTATCGTATGATAATTACGATAAATGTATCATGTTTAAATACTTATCAGATTATGTGATGTAACAGTATCTTCCAATTATAAGTGTTTTGCTGAAAGTTTATTTATATTAATCATGTTTATTGGCCACGTCATTTCTTTTTTATGTAATTTAGGCCTTTTACTGTTTTATTCACTATTAAATGTTAATTTAAAGCATTCGTCTCGATATGATGGCGAACTTATGCACTTTCTAGTAAATTATATGTCTTCAATGTATTCCACTTTTATACCAGACGAGATCAGATTTTCTATACAAACTAAATCTGCTATCATCTTGTATGAGATATTGTTTATTAAGGAATTAATTACGAGTGCTTCATTGAAGTGACAATAGAATACTTTTTTCTCAATTGATATATAAAAGCACCAGCTTTTTGACGGAATATCGTGGTCTGACGATACACTATTGAAATAGTTCCCATTAATGCACTCGTAAATAGCAGAAATGACACTAAGAACGTTTGACCATAAACATGATAAATGGAAGACATACAATGCGCTACTTGGATTATTAGAGTTGCTAATTTTAAGATGGATTTGTATGGGGACCAAAAATATGACAGAAAATTTTAAATACTTACGATAAAATCTGCAAGTATTGATAAAGAAGTTATGTTAATCTTTTTTTACGTTTACAAGTTGTGTAAAACTTCAACTGTCTACATCATAGATTCCCACGAGACTCCCTTTTCTAACATGAACTGATATCTCAAACGATTGGCAAGTTACTATAAAAATCCTATATTATTTAAAAACTTTCCGGTTGTACGAATATTGCACGCTTATTGACTTGTTGACTTTTTCAAAAGTACAACAATGATACTTTTTTTACTAATATTAGTAATTTATACAACAAGTTGGTACATCTAACACAACTTATACAATATCTTGAAAGTTTCAAATAAGAACTTATGTTAATTAATAAGGGTCGATCTTTAGACCATGTTGGCCCCCAAAATCAGTTATCGTTTATGTCGTTCCCCTGGGAATCCCTGTTCTACACCAATTATCTAAAAAAAATATTATATGAATAATAAATAATATGTATTAACTCCTTGAGCGCACCTAAGGAGGTAAGCCCTTGATGTACTTAATACTATATATGATGGTAAGCACATAAAGAATTAAAAGAAAGAGTATGTCTACAGAAATAATGGAAGGAAAACAAAACGATGATAACAGTAAAATTCGAATTTTATTCATTACTATAATTTCATTGTCCATTATGTAACTGCATCTCACACTATGCAATGTGATGTGACGCGCCCAAGGGCGGGTCACGGTCAATTAACTAGTGTGGTATTCCGCACACGACAACATCTGATACAAGCGCCTTGGTCAGTGAAATCATCTATTCCTATAAGTAGTCTTATTTATCCTTCACATGTGTAGTGTTCGCGTTGTTATGCATTATTTATATTAATATCCAAATGTAATTGGAAGTAGAAGATAATTAATTCAGTTTTTTTTTTTATAAAAAAAGGCAGATGAAAAAAAATGTTTATCAGATTCGCCTGATAGTAAATGCTCAAACAATAGCAGCACCAGAAAAGTAGTCAATGCATTTCCGTTCTTTTAAGATAATTATAATAATATGCTTTATCTTATTAAATTTCCTATTTTAATTTTTTTCGTAGAAGGTAGCCATAGAAACAATTGTACTAACTTTGACAGTATAAATACTAGACATAGAAACAGCAATAATACAATACAAACCCATTGTGTTTAGCCTCATTTTACTTGTCTTAATGGCTGACAGGTATTAATCAGTGTCTAATCATGAAACCTAAAGGTAATGTATTTACTCGATAGGAATAAAAGCTCAGTTTTTAATAAAATTATATCATCTTTATATTATACGACCAATTACAAAAGTAAAGTTATTTGTTGCCGATGCTCATTCATATTCAGAACTTCCGTCAGTGGTCGTGTTGTATCCAAATTTAAACTCACAAAGCGTCTGCGGTGGCGTGACATGAACGGACCAACCGGAGAACGGTGCCTTCTCGGCTAGTAGTGCGACGACCTCGCAGTACACAGTGGATCATAATATTACAATCGATCGATTGTTGCTTTAATCTACTTTGGGTCACAGATATCTTAATTTTCAAACATAAAATATAACAATTATATTTTCGTTGAACTGATCTATCTAAAATCAGAGCTAAAATAAATCATCGATGTTACATTGCATATATAGACTAATAGAAAAACGGTAGTCAAAATGTAGATTATTAGGATGCGTAGTCCTGATGAATCTCAAAAATGGTTTACTATAACTTTTCAATTCAACTACCTATGCATTTTCTTACCTGTATCATATTTACAAATCCCAGTTTCAAACGTTACTATTTATTTGTAATAGAAATTAAAGTTCGTTTTTATTTTCATTAGCGTTTACAAATATGTAATTTATTTTAGATAAGTCTAGCTAATTGATTAAATTATTAAGACCATTAATGAAATTCTCTGTAATATAGTCTTATTATCGTATCTATTAGTTATATCATCTTATTTATTTGCCAAAGAATTAAGATTGTATTATAACTATACGTCGAAGATATTCAATTTATTTGCGTTCTACTTATTGTTAGCCTAGATATATTCAGGTAGGTTATACTAATTTAAGATATAACAACTTTATAATATAGTTTAGCTACACATAATAATTATGCCGGATTATAATATAAAAGTAAATTCAGGATCCGATTAAAACTACATAATTTTTAATAAAAATGCACAAGCTTGATACACATAAATTCATCAGATACTAATGATTAAAATAAAAGATAAAGCAGACGACAGTTCTGTCTATACTAAGCAAATAAGATAACATTTCATTTGCCCTCTACCTTTTACAGCTTCCAATATCATTGGTATTCTACTAACTCCTAAGTTTTCTACATGTCTGCAGATGCTATAATATTAATATATGTAGATCTTTAAATTTTTATTCTGCTATTGAGCACCAATGCGGAAATAGTATGAAATATTTACTTATAAATGCGTCATGTCTATACGCTATATATATGAGTGCCGTGCCGACGTTATAAAAATCGTCTCCACTGGCGCCTACTATTTATAAATAGTAATATATTTTCAGAATATGTTTGTCTTTATCTTTCTTCTCTTTATACGTAGTTCTATTTCACTCTAACACTTCGGCTATATCGTCTGTAATATTAAAGTATCGTTTTGGTTCATTTTCGACCTTCCCCCTGACCACAAAGTAGTAAACTATGGATGTGGCGTGTTAAAAATGGAACTATAAGCTTAATTTTAATGCAGTAAATTATAAATATTTCTAAATATATCAAAATCTTCATCCTCTATCTGAAAAATTGCTAAAAGGCTAGACAGATTGAAATCGTAAATCTTTGGTATTTTTTTAACCTAAACCTGAACTTTTTCCAATAAAAGCTTGACCGTCATTCTTACGTAACTTCATTTTCAAAATGTTAGGGCTATATATCTCTTACTTAAGACCAAGCTATATTTGCTTTATATTTTAGTCGTTAGTAGGTTCGACCAAGAAAGAAATTTATCTAAAATCAATTATACTGAAAACAAAAGCAACCAATCTTCCTAAATTTTACCATACCGCTCTTATTTCTTTAGGCGTCTTCAGTCCATATTCATTAGCGAGCAGGAATAATGTAACAACTACCAGTAAATACTGCAATCTTCATTTCCAAAATAAAAACATACCCAGTATGTAACAACTTTGACATTCAAGAAAGGGTATTTGAGAAATGACTACTGCGGTGGAGAAAGCTGCAATCTTTTTGTTTATATATGAGTATATACGGATTTCATAATATTTCTAACAGATAATAGAAGACTAGCATATCAAATATATAATTTCTGAACATCTTACCCTGCACGTGAGTGCTGTAGTATGTATCTAGGTTAACAGCCTTCATTATCAGTTATTTTACATTACGCTGTTTACATTATTTTGATTACACTTAGAACAATATCTTGACTAACTAGGTATAATTTAAGAAAAATAAAACTGTTATGAAGTATATAAATATTAAAACAATTTTGTGTACAGTACTTTTATTGCTTTGATATCTTCTTGCGACACTTTTTATTATTCACAGAGCTCTTTGTGTTACATTACTAGTGACCGATCAAACAATCAAATCATTTCTCTTTATAATATTAGTATAGATAAACAGTGTCAAATAGGAATACTTCAGAGCTAGTTATATTCATAAGAGAAGTGCAAGACTTCATAATTTGAAATTTTTACTTGTTCACAGGACTCATGGCAAGACCCGAAATCGACTGATACAGGGTCAGTGATCAATATACTGAACATAGGGAAGCAGACATTCGCCAATGGCGGCGTGGTATCTAGGTACCTTTGCGACTTGGCACAATGTTGCCATCTAACATCCTACGACTACAAGGACTTTGTTCCTGAAGTAAGTAAATTGAAATATATTATACGTATACGTAAATGTACTCCTTTTGTCTTTCGTAGGTCACCTCAGAATTCCTTAAGACGCTTGTTTTTTTTTGTCATGTTTATCACTTTTTTCTAACTATAACCGGCTCGTTTTCATTTTATGTATATCAGTTGTTTACTTTGATTCTTTTGTAGATATCTTTAAATAGCATTAATCAAGTATACGTAATTAACTGATCTAAGTTTATTATTGTATTTAAAAAAGACACTGATCATCTAATAAGATTAAAAGTCCTGTAAATAATTTAATAATTATTGCCGTGCTAAAAAAAGGTCATCAATATATAAAAATTACTTTTTTCTTCAAATTATTTACTGATATTTATTATATTTTTATTTATACTTTGTTGTACAGACTAATAATACATAAAAATACGACAGAGGTAAGCAAATGTACAAAAACGAGCTTACCTCTACGATCGCTTTTTATTCTCCAGGTATTAAAAGATAAACACTTCCAACAAGCTGTAGAGGATAGAACCCAAGAGGAAATTAGGAAGTTGAATGAAAACAATCACGTAGGAGGTGGCGAAGGTGACTCAGCAAGCAAGTACCAGGTGGTCAAAAGACGGATAGAAGCTAAAGCTCTCAAAATAGTAAACGACATTAGTTCTGCAATGTCCAATGGTGTACTCAAGTTAGTATTATACTTTAGTTTATGATATAATACATATTACTTTTCGATGCTCTTAATTTTTTTACATGAATCCTATTATGTTCATCTAAATTGTTGCCTGATCTAAGTTTATAAATAACAAAACAAGATCATGAACTTATTATTTGGCAGGGTTTACCACAGTTACGTCTGTGATTATCATAAAATTTCAATTAGATTAATGCTAATTAAATTACTGTTAATGTTTGTCATAAACATTAGGTACATGAAATCTAATATATAATTCAAAGTGAAAATATTTATTTTCAATCTCTTTTCCTTATTTCATATATGTAAACAATATGCTATCACAAGATATTTAGTTATTCAGTAAGGTTATCTTTAAATGAAAAATATAATTATAGATATGACTGTATAGATTTTAGAAATTATTTGTTTACATATGCTTGTATATTTTTTATTACGTATTTGATCTAGCCTATTTGTATCGTTATATTACTAATTAACACTAGGTTTACGGGACCCGTCAATTTGACGGATTTCAAACTTTGAAATGAAACACGCAAAAAACCATAGCATTAATCTTAACTATTTTGCATCGTAAATTTATAATTTCATTAAAAGAGTTTATACGCACAATTATTATTTTCCTAAGCTTTATAAATTTTGAAAATTGTATCTTGTATACCTATTTCTACGGAACCCGTCAATTTGACGGGTTAGCTGATTACGTCAACAATCCTTATATATTTGCTTCGCTTGTAAAATTATACCTCCAATAGCAAATATAAGACTGAAAGAAAGGTCTAAGACACCCCCCCCCCCCAAACTCATAATCTCAATAGCGCCTCAATAACGAATTGTGTGTCAAATCCTCGCGTTATTCGAAACTCAAAGCGTGCAGCAGACTAAATGTCGTATCGAAAAGATATTCAGTTCATGTGTTGGTGCATACATAAACAACACACACAAGGAACTTTCATTTAGTTTAAATCTGCGATAATCTGTCTTCAGTATAGTCGCATTTAGTTTATTTTAGTCGTATTTTCATCCACCCGTCAATTTGACGGATGCTCGTAGAGATAGGTATATAAGAAACGCCCGTAAACCTAGTGTTAATGTTGATGTTTTATTTTTCAAAACATAATTTCTATTATTAACTTTGTTGATAATAAAATACACTTATTTATTTCTTAAAAGAAACTAATATATGTTTTCTGTCAATTTCAACCAATTTCAACCCTTTTACACATATAGCCTATTAATTGCTAACGACTAATGGAGAAGGCAATTCTCCATGATTGCTACTGTGGTAATAGGGTTTTATTTCAAGTTTTTTATCTCTAGTACTAATGTATTGTGCTTTTTTCATCAGTTGCTCATTACGACATTATACGAATTGAATGAAGTTAGGAAATAACATGTTCTCTTTTGTTCATTTTACTTACTAACAATGGGAATGCATATTTTTTACGCAACTTGAAAAGATATGGACTTGAGATAGTAGCTGTCCTTTATATAGACATGAACTACAGCTGGGTGTGGATTTAGCAGAGAGAGATATTGTACAAAAATCGCCTGCATCCAACTTGCTATAAATAGCAACTAGCTAACTATTACTGCTATTAAGCAGTTGTGTTTACATGGCTGTGTTTGGGTTTAAAGGGTGGGATATGGGTGAAAAATGTTTACAGAGCCATAAAACATTACTCCTCGGAAATGACAACGTGTAAGGGATGCTATAAGTGTCATATCCTATTATGTATGTCTATGGTGCCATTCATGTCTATAGGTGACGGTGGTAATACTTCCATAAAAAAAAAAACAGTTCCTGAAAATTAAGTATTTACATAAATTAGATGGACTGAGTGAAATAAATAATAATGAAAGTTCGATTGTCATTGCAGGCTTGTAGCATGGGTGTGCCACAAAGCGATCCGTCGCGTGGCCCGCGGCGGATGTGGTACACGCGCGGCCTGCGTGGAGCGACTGCGTCGCGCGAACGCAGCCGGCTTGCCGCTAGTGTTTGTGCCTTTGCATCGCTCACATTTCGACTACATACTCGTCACCTTCACGCTGTATCTCACGGGGCTACGGCCACCGCTGGTCGCCGCCGGAAACAATATGAGGATACCGTTCTTTGGGTGAGTTTATCTTTTTGTTGGAAAGGCTGATGTAAGTAGGTAGGTAGGATATCAGTGAGGGGTTGATATGCAAGAATGATATCAGATTAGATGAAGTCACCAAACTTAACCGAGATGGTTTCCAGGAAGGACCGCACGGAAGTAGACTTGATATATATTGCTAGCAACAACTACAACAGGATCATTAGAACCCATATTAACAATATTCTGCTTTCCCAAAACTCTCTTTGGGTGAATTGTAGTTGGTACATATACCAATACCATAGTGTCAATTTTTATCAGCTCTTACATGCAGTTTCATCGTAGTGAAATTTAATTTACATAAACGTTAAGACGAAATCAAAATCCTACTAATGATATTATAATAGTGAAAGTTTATAAATAGGTTTGGGTGTTTACATGTTTGTTAATCACTTAAACGGATGTTATTAAAATTTCGTCTTTAGACGGATCATGCCCTACATCAACACAGATTATATTTTATCTTTTATCGAGCTAATCCGCGAGATACAACTAATATTATTCGAACCCGGAACTTCTTAAATTATCATGTTATCGCAATTAATATGATATTATAATCAATTAGTAGAATAATAAAAAATACGATTTACACCAAATATCAGGCGCCTTCAGTAGCTAATAGATTTGACACATGCGCCTTGTTAATTAGGCCAATTCTAATTAGCCATTTCTCAAAACTTATCGCTTATTATTTGATAATATCATGAAATTACTAAAAATTACGAATTCATCAAACCATATTGAAATCACCTTAAGTCTCATCATTTTACAAGTCAGTAACAAATTTTCAAAATGCCTATAATACACAAAAAAAAAATGTTTTTAGGGAGTCTTGCTATACCTGATTTGTTGGTCACCTATGATTGATTGGTACGTATTATTTGCATTTAACTTTTATTGTACGTAACTTTTCAGATGGTTCCTGCGAGGATGCGGCGCGTTCTTTATCAGACGAAATACAGAAGGCTCAGACGGCCACAGCGACAGTATATACAAATCAGCTCTTAGGTATGTTATATATACCAGTATATGCCATGTTTTAATATTCTGTGACCTGTTTCAACGGTAAATCGATCGAAAGATCTGTGTCCAATTTTGTCGACAAAGATTTCCATATTTTCTTTCTTGTCTATAATCTTACTTATTTGACTTATTTGTCCGTCAACTTTTATATAACAATTCTACTTTCTGAACTGGTAAACAGTAAAAGAACAACAAATTAACTGTTGCAAATGTGTATGCAGTGTTATAAATATATTTATTATTTTAAATTGAATATGTATTTTTCGTTACAGGTCATATATATTGAATAGTTTAGCTGCAAATAATAATATGGAATTCTTCATTGAAGGCGGTCGAACGAGAACCGGGAAGCCGCAACCGCCCAAAGGTATTTTTATTATTTAACATGAACAAAGCACATGCCTTTTTTTTGTTCATTTTTATGAAACTCTGTAATTTATGAATCACGTAAAAATTTGTGCCTAAAGAGAAAGTAGGGCATTAGCTCCTTTCTCCATACTTATTGCTAAAAGAATCTTAAAATTAAATTCTATGATCCAAAATATATTATCGTATAATTTTTGTTTATTGCACACGCTTACGTGGACTATAAGACTATGTTTGTGGTAAGATCATTTGTATATTTTGATATTAATGTATTAACGTAAAATATGCATAAAGATGCAGTGAGCAAGTAAGCTCTTCAAGTGTATGTTAGGATTAATAACAATCTGTAAACAACAAAACGTATAAATATAGATAACTGGATGACCACTCCCGTCTTCGCACGGCTATATAAAGATCTCTAACTTTTTTAAATAAAATACAACCATGTTACTAGCTGATAAAATAGCTTTCTATAAGTGAAAGAGTTTATAAAATCTGTTATTTTTTTGAATTATCCATTAAAAAATTAAATATTTCTTCTCTGTAATATTAATTTAGGTAATAATAATAAAAGATAATTTTATTACATAATTAGAAACTAATTTCTGTCTCATCGATTCAATTTGCGGTCAGTAAATAAATTACCAAGTTAATTTCTGTTTATGATAGTTTTATGTTCATGTGTGGATGTCTCACGACATTGCGTATTTTACTTTAAGGGACAGCCGTTTGTTTCACAAGAATATTTTTATCAATTTGCGGAAGTTTTGAAAATAATTTTTATTCTTCTATACGCAAAGAGAATATAACAAGTAGTTGCAAAATACATTTGACAACCTTGGGAATTATAAAGGCCACATTATGTGAATCATAACTATTGAAAAATTACTTAGTATAATCTGCTGATGTAAATTTTCCAACTCCGTAATAATACGCCCTCATCACAAGAGACCTATTATACTCGGCGGGTTATAAAAAGGAAAATGTTATAATGGTCGTATAAAATGGACTTTTTAACTCTCCTTATCTACGATTTCAGTTATAAGTATATCAATTTTCTATTTTCGATATTATGTTTATTATAAAATACGGCATATTTTACAGCGGGCATCTTATCTGTGATCATGGACGCATACCTCGACGGAACTATCGATGATGCTCTACTGGTACCAGTTACTCTCAATTACGACAAACTGGTGGACGGAAACTTCGTGAGAGAACAACTTGGCATGCCGAAACAAATGGAGACCTTCTGGTCCGCACTTAGGGGCATATGGCGGACGCTGAACACAAATCACGGCAGTATCAGGGTTGATTTCAACCAGCCCATATCACTTAAGGTAACTCCTTATTCCCTGTTTCAATTAATTAATTTCCTATGAATATGATAACTTGTGTGTATATTATGTTCCCTACCTGATTTGTTTCAGTAATTTTTTTAAAGAATTATTATTATTATTCAAAGCACAAATACCCAACTATAGGATTATCATTATTAATTAAAGCTTAAGGATAGTACTCGTATTTTAATTAATATTTTTGTAAGAGTTACCATCTCTCGTTTACATAAACGATATATCTCTTTTAGAAAATACACTGTATAATCCTGAGGAGATAAAAAAATATCGTTAATTGTAACTGTTCTTTGGAACATCTTAAAATTCCTATCACTAATAGGAATTAGCAGCGAACCTAAAAAAAAAGGGCGAACACAAAAGATCATGTAAAGGTTACAGTGTCACATGTTTTTCGTCTCGTCTTTCGATAATAATAATAATAACGCTTCTTTGTATCGAGTCTAGAACTCATTTATTTAACGAAAACCACCTCTGAGAGATATTAAATTATTTTACAAGCTTCATAATTGTTATTTGCATCTGCAGGAACTCGTGACATCATTCCAAAAGTACAACTACCTCAAGTCGCCCATCGAGCGGCCATTGACCCCGCCCAACAACAACCTGTCTGTGAATCTCGACAGGCAAATTCTATACAACCACAGTCATTCTAGTCTATACGGCGCTGACGTCTCCACTGACCACAAGATGATGGTAGAGGCGATAGGCAGGCATCTAGTCTACGGTACGTTGTTTTGTACGGTACATCTAATAGTGCAAGCTAAGAAAAAATAGTTTTTACGTGTAATGCTTCGTATTCGAAGTAATAATAGGATTTATCACCATGCCGACAATAGCGATGCAAAGTAGACAATTACCTGAACCGATGCGTATGAATATTTGACACGAGTTATAATAATTTATTTAATATAATACTGCTAATAAATATGTACTAATCCGTTAACATTACGCTCTAAGTGCGATATGTCTATTAAACTTGACTGGGAATACTAAATGAATTGTATTATGATTAACAGTGTTATGTTGGTAGTAGTGAATTTATGTATTCATTTCTACCAAAATATACAACATGTAGTATCCATATGAGGTATTCATAGAATGTTTATACCAAGTTTACAAATTTTATAAAACAAATTTTACTTTTCAAACAGATTCAAAGAAAAGGTGATTTTCATTTAAGATGTGTTTTTTTTTATGTTTGTTTCCTATTTAACCGATTTAGAAAATGCCATATAAATTATATCAAAATCGGTACAGTAGTCAAAAAAAAAATAACGTGTTTTACCACAATTGAAATTGGGTTTTTTTATCTCTGTCACAATTATATAGATATCTCACACAACAGCTATATTTTCCGCAAAATTACAATACGCAAATACAAATACATTATGTATTTCGGAAAATAGACGCCTTATAATGCGCTAAATATTTTAAGTTTCATAGTTATAATAATTAAGTTGCAATTTAAAATTTGAATCATCCATATTTTTATCTTTTTATTTTAAATTTCGAATCTCAGATGCGGCGCAAGCGACGGCGCTGATGTGCACGAATGTGGTCTCATATGTACTACTAACGGAACAGCGTCATGGCTGTACATTACAGCAACTACACGCCAGTGTAGCTCGTCGCGCTTCCCGTCTTCGGACCGCCGGCCGAGATCTGGGCTACACTGCTGATGGAGCTGCCGCTACGCGACACGCCGTAAGTACTTTGCAGTGTGTAGTCGCCTTAAAGTTAACTTTAAAAGTTTCACTCACATAGCTAATTATGTTATGTTTTTGACATATGAAAAATATGCAAATATAAATATTTGGTAACTATATATATGTAGTTAATAACTTTACTTATGTACATAAAACTTACAGTTGTAACTGCAGTCTAAGATCTGGCGTATTATCCAGTTTTAATATTTCTAATTGCCTTTAATGCACCATATATATAATGTTTACATTAAAAACGTGCTTCCTTTCAGATCATTTTATATCAATTCGAATTTATGAAAAAAATTGTTCATAATTTTGTTTTTTCGTCACACATAATGTCTTTGTATTCAAAATCGGATTGAAATATAAAGACGTGTGTGTTCCTTTTTTTAAAATATGTCACTTAAATATTTTCGAATTTCATACTTATAAATCAATAAATATACTTTATTTACATTATACAATACAGAGAATAAAATAGTATAATTGTTTAATTAATTCGCGATGCAATTGTATTAGTAAGGTTATCCTATTGCTAAAAGCAATCTTTTCAAGATAATCCAAATTAAGGTAGTTCAGGAATTTATACTTATGTATACTATATCAGTACTTCACAAATAGGTGTGAAGTTAGTAACGCTTGTTGTTGTGTACAGCTGGAGATGAATTTATACTTATATATACTATATCAGTACTTTACAAATAAGTGTGAAGTTAGTAACGTTTGTTTGTGTGTACAGCTGGAGATGCTGGGACGGGGCCTGGTGCGGCGTGAAGGTAGCGCGGGAAGCGGTTCGGCGCGGCCTCAGCCCAGCGTGGCAGCTTCACTTGAGCTTGCCTATTATGCCAACGCCGTCGTTGCACATTACGCACCCTCCGCCATTATAGGTAACCGACCTGTCTTCTAGCCACACGTTTGCAATTTATCTATATTTATATTATTTTATATATTATTATGGAACTTCAGTAGACTTAATTTTTAATTTAAGTACAGATCTGCAGATGTATGATTAACTTTTATATTATTATTTATTTTAGTTTTCAAACTCTAGCTGAAACATATATTTTTTTATTTTTTCAGCAACGGCATTAGAGAGTATACTAAGGCAACCGAATGCAGACCAGGAGGTTGTATACCACACAGAACTGATACAGTCGGCACTCCAGCTGTGCGAAGTTCTCAGCCAGGAGTTCATACTGTGCCCACCGTGCCACAGGATAGAGGAGAAAATGTTGGACGCTATAGACGCACTGGTTTCGGATGAAGTATTACTAACTATTGAGGTCAGTAAGAAAAAGTCTGTAAGACCTTTTTTGTCGACCATATAACTGTTGTGATTGTATGTCGTATCAGTCATTAACTGTCCACTGCTAATCATAGCCTCCCCCATAAAGGGGTTTTGTAAATAGTAGCCAAGCTAGACAGACAGTTTAGCAATCGCAGTTAGGCCTTTGATGATGTTTTAAGAGGGATGCTGCTGCCCATCGCTCGACAATACACACCCTTAGTCACGTCTTACGACATGTACGGCCAAAGGGTGACATATACTATTCCGGGACCTACACAGATATGTGATTGTATGGTGCAAATTTAATTGAAATCTATATATTACCTCTTGGCACCTTGACGGCTAAACCAATTGTCATGAAATTAGGCATATCAAAGCATGGACGTACGTTGACTTTTTTCTCAATCAATCAATATTATATTCTGATAGCGTGAATAAAGCTGCGAGTAAAAAATGGTTTATGTTTCTGATAGTATACAATTGTATAATTGTGGTGATTATGTTGTACAAAAAAATATATAAATAAAATACTATTTGTCAAGTACAGCACCTAAGAATGTCTGAAAAAATTTTGAATATTTAAAAAAAAAAAAAATTGTTTAAATTCTATTACGGATTTTAAAGACGAAATAGAAAATGGATGCGGATGTCAATCTGTTTGGTCAGCTAGTTTCCAATATTTTCTATTGCGAATAATATTTCAAGATAGTTAGTGTCACAATTATATTGAAAGATTCTCTTTACTGTGTAATGCTTTTATATTGTATTGTCTGTATATTTATCGCTTATACTATGAATGTTTGTTGATTACAGAGTAACGAAGGATTAGAAGAACAAAAGTGGTCGCGCCGGTTCGCCAAGCGGCTAGAAGAGGAGGATGAGGACGGCGAGCGGCCTGATCCCACGCGGCACATTAAGTACAGGATCTCGCAATCCGCGGACGCACTCGCGGAACGGTCAGTACACTATATCTACTGCTATTACTGTCTTTCTCAGGGAGAAAAGTGATTGTTAGTAATCGGGTCTAACTAACCCATTGCCAGTAATACATCCTATCAGGTCGACCTCCACGCGGATCACCTTGGATCGTAGTTAATTCTAGTGGAATTCGTTACGATGGACTAACTGACCTCCTTTCATCGTCACATCGTCCCTCACTGGTGCCCCGCCAGCGTATAAGTAGCTCAGGCGAGGTTACCATTTCATTATTATCCATTAAAAAAAAACTGTCCGTCATCTGATGTGCCACATAGAGAGAGAATATCATAGAAATACTGTGAGCGTATGCATTATAAAATAGCAATAGAATAACGTCAATTGAGTAAGTAAACAAAAAATGTAGCTCTTAATTTGCGACATATAATAGAAATTTAGCTATTAAAATTTTTAATGCTTTTGATGTGGCAAGTAATTGGAGCTTTTCAAAAATCAAAAAGTGCGGGAAAGAAGATAATAAAATATTTTTTATTTTGCTCACTTTTTCGTATTTCGCTTGTAATAGTATCTCATTGTTTTCGGTCGATTATTACATACGTTCGTCATTGCAGGTTATATGTATTAGGACCGCAGATACTATCCTTAATCTATAACCATATCAGAGACTTGTATATAGTGAATGAAGAAACTCCTGACACTATACGGCAACAGCCTCACACTAGCAGTCACTAAATAATAATACTCAGTATTTCATAGGAAAATAGTAGTAGTAATAATGAGTCTTAAATGAGTAAAAAACGAATCTATCATTAAATATGTTTTCACTGCTGCATGCACGAGATAGAACAAGATAGCAATGCACGGCTTCTTGTTACTTCTTATTTGCGCGATAATGAAAATGTCTTAACTTTTATTGTTTGGGTTTTTTTTTTAAAAAAAAGTTGAAAGATAATTAAATATAATTTTCCCCTAATATAAGTATAGAAAAAAAATTCTGTTCATTTGCACTATGTGGTAAATTACATTTTGTTACTTTTTAATTTAAATTTGTATTTAAATGTTTGGTTCTCAATTGCTCTCATAGCTTTGCCGTCAGATATTGCGAAGGAGTATCAACAACCGTCAACCTATTATATTAGTATATATATTATATATTAGTTGTTAAAATATGTTTTATATATGAATATTACAGCCGTCGACTACTACTGACGATCCGTCCCCTCGTAGAAGCTTACTCCGCCAGTTGTCACTGTGTGATAGCAAGAGTGACCGAAGCTGGTGGCTTCGATGGCCCCATGAACGAACTGGTGCAGACTACGCTACAAAACCTCACGGACAGTTTTGCGGACAACAAGATGAAATACGGTACGCCATTTTTTATACAAGTGAATTAATAATCTAATCTGCTTAAAAGGAACTTTTATAACGTAACCCGATATCTTGTGGTTGTGGACATTTTAGAATTGTATAATTAATCGTTACCAAGCCTTCAAGCTTGTTTCATTTGATATTCATATTAATAGGGTTCATAAATTATATATATATATATATAAGCCCTTTTACACCGAATTCTTTATAACCCTAGTAAGACATGTTTTCCCTTTTTATTTATTATAATATATCTCTCAATTCATTCCTGGCATAGGCCTCCTTCAGCTCTCTCCATTGAACTCTATCCTCCGCCACTCTACTCCAGTAAAGCCCTAAGGTTTGACGGATGTCGTCTATCCATCTTGTTTTCGGGTGCCCCTTTCTTCTAGTGTCTTCTCTTGGATACCATAAACTTACTTGTTTATTCCATTTGTCAATTTTGCAACGTCATCATGTAATACACTACATAACAGTATATGACTGCGGCCATTTTGAAAATATTACAATGCTGAATCTTGCATATTGTTACTAGAACTGAAGGTGTATGCAAAGTATCCATTCAATTAAATTGTAAACAGTGATTCTAATTTAGCTTGCACAATTTTACCTAAACTAACAAAGTAACGTAACTGATACAACACCGGCCGGTGTTAAGTCCGCCAAATGTACATAAAATTTTACTGTACATTAAAGTTTAAATAAATAAATATACAATTTAAGTTTAATGAAAACTTGCAAAAAGAACTGCTTAAACAATATAGAAAACAAAATGTTGTTGAATCTGTGTCTGTTGAATTGTCATTGCTAACCTATAAAAAAATATTTACAGGCGAAGCGGTATCGACAGACGCGATACGCAACTGCCTACGACTATTGCGACAGTGGGGAGTGCTAGAAATGTACTCGGAGGGTCGGCAGCGAAAGCTCCGGCTTTGTTCGCCCTTCGCTGACCGACAAGCCCTCGACAAGGTCTGCTCTACTATCTACCGGTATAATGTGGACACGCCTTTACTAGCCGATTGATTTTGTAGATCAGTTGGCGGGAAGCATTTTCTTAACTTGCATTGACGGAAACGCAGGACGTTGACCTCTATCTAGGACTTCATCTGTGATATTGACATGTCACCACACGTGTTTACTAGTGCTTTACGGTATAACGATGTTGACCATTCGTGTTCGTTCGTTTTGAATTGCAAATTGACTATTTCTTGACCAGTGAGATGTGATTTTGGTGTTAGATATAAGATGTTTTGAGTAGCGGCGCAGGTATAGAATTAAATAAATACTAGCAAGTAAAAAAATAGGCACTATGCGGGCCCATTTTCCACTATACGCTTGTTTGATTAATCATCCAATGCTATGTTACAAAACAAATAGAATAATATTATATTATTTATTTTATTACGTTTGTCTAACATGTCCTTAAATGACTCATATTGATAAAAATAATGCTAAATTTATTAAACAAATAGTAACTAAAACAAATAAATAAATTGTCCTGGTGGCGGAATGGTATATTAAGTTTCCATATAGATTGGGTCGTGTACGTATTTAAATTCTATAACTGTGTTACGCGTGGCCGGTTAAGGTATCCGATTTTAGGATAAAACTCCTATAAATGGGTGATATTTAGACTAATCTTTCGCCTTTTTCATTTTGTATGTTTTCATTAAAAATTGACATATAGCTGTAGTATGTACTGATAAAGTACAATTGACGTTACAGCGTGGTTTATAACAACCCCGCTTGACAGTTTTTTTTTTTTTTAGTTTATAATTGTGCATTTTTTATGCTATATTTGTACCGGGTTATTAATTTCGTACCAATTACTGTTTCCATTGGTTTCTAATTATATATTTATAATAAAATGGTATAGCTCTTAATATCATTACCAACATATTAGTTCGATTTTAAAATAAAATTACATGTAAATAGGTTTACTTGTTAAAATTCTGTTTATATAAAAAAAGTTTACCTTTCAGAAATAAAAATAATAATTTCGAGATTTTTCGACTTTTTTTTACTTTATAAATAAAATACGACTAAGAAATCACGGAACGATTTCAAACGCGCCCTTTTCAATTTTGGTTAAATAAACAATGTCCATTATGAAATTTACGAAACTGGTTTTATACGCCATGCATTTGTCATTTTCATGTATTTCTTTATTCTACAAATGTCGCAACCTCGCGACCGTGACGGGCGTAGTTAAAACATTCCGTGAATTCGTAAATATTCTTGGTAGCTCTTTTTCAAGTATAACCAAGTTGAGGATATTGACAAATCTGCTCGTGTCGTGTCGACCATTTTTGTAAAAGACAGAGCTGATAGCATTTTTTTAAATTACTGAAAATGGCAAGCAAACTGTTGATTAAAAGGTAAAAGCTTGGTGCTCACCATAAAAACCATGACTGTGGACTGTAACTTACCAGCTCATAATTTCTTCAGTCCCAGGTCGCAGTTTTGTTTTAAGGTCATATAAATTAAAGATTGGACCTTCTTTGAATTAATTTGTATTTAAAATATACGGTACAGAGAGATTCCAAAGGTGTCGGTTAACAGAAAGGCCACTGTTACCATGTGTAAAAAATATTACATTTTATAAATTATTATTTATGTTGCCAACAGTAATGACTGTTACGTATAAACATTAAAATATTATGACAGTGCCCGTGGGGACCTCTTGTGTACTGACGACATGTCTAGTTATACAAAATATGTCATCTACCTCTTTAAAAATTTCCGTCAACTCTTAGAGTATAATAATCAAAATAGTGTGACCTAAATACTAGTTTAGAGTACAGTGTCGATATCGGTTTATTTCATAACACATACCTAGTGATTATAAATTAAATTCTTATCCCACTGCTTCGCTTGTGTGATCACTTGACATGTTAATTGAGACGAGTGGTTTTCCTGATGTCAAGACATTTTGACGTCACATTATTTAAAGGTAAACCGTAAATAGCAGATATAAACACAGCACGATAGATGTAATAGATGTCAAAAATACACCTATTACTCGACGCAGTTTCTACATTTTTGTACTATGATTGTATTATAATTTTTGTACTTGACAAAAACAACAATACAGATGATATTTTCGAAATAGTTTGATATGGAAAGTAGTTTACTACAATACATATAATTGAAAACATCACAGAAAGAAGAAAAGTATAGCACACATAGATTTCATATAGATTGAAGTATTCGGGTCATCTACCTTCATCTATGATCTTGATTTAATCGACTGCCCGTGGTTATGCGATTATTTATGCGTTATGCTGTATGATATATTGTAAAGTAATACCAATACATAATTGGTTTTAGTATAAAAGTTTGATTTTACTAATTATATTGATAGTAGACGCTCAGTCTAAATGCTCAACCAAAATGCAGTGTAAACTATATTAGTATGTGTACACAAAAGTGCAACCACCTATTCTGCACCATAACAATAGAGAATATAATATTGTTGACGATTACACTACAGCTTTATATTCGATGTTACCGGTTTAAATCGAAATTTTCATGCAATATCATTTGGAAGACTCAGGTTGTTGTAGTAAGTATATTGGCAGCGTTTGAAATGTTTTCAAAAAAAGAAATAATATACCTAAATATTACAACTCTAGATATACGTATATATATATATATATATATATATATATATATATATCGTATATATATATATATATATATATATATATATATATATATTTATATGTATATATATATATATATATAGGTCTATTAGGCGAAGTGTTTCTAAATTTCGAGACTGAAAAAAATCTAACAATATAAATATTAATGGGTCTTTTTAGAGAAATTGCTCTATAAAAATTTGATTTCATAATACATATACTGCCTACTTTTACTTTTAAATAATAATTTATTTTACATGAAAAAGTTTGCTGGAAATCTCTTATTCGAGATAAGCTCGCCTTTTTAGATGACGATTAATTTTTTGATGTAGAATTTTAAAGTAATTTCCTATTCTTGTCATTGCCGATTACTGGAATTATACCGTTTAAAATGTATAATAAAAACAAAATATAAACAAAGCGATTGTTCCAAGGTGGCATGTAAAACTATGATCACATATGCATCTTGGCAAAAATCATAAAAAGCAATAATCAACTTTACTTTGTATATTGCAATACCCTTAAGTTATTATTTATATAGGTTTTGTTTTGGCACAAAGAGGAAAAAAATTGAGAAATAAGGATAATAAATAATATTACCATATGATGTGTTTTATTTAATAACATTTTAATTTCAGATATATCACATTATTGTTATAGTTAGGGGTGAGTAATATAAAGCAATATCTATATATTTTTAAAACGATATCTATGTACTGGTCTAATAATGAATATGTCAAAAGTCTGTTATCCAAAAAAATAATATTGCATAACAGAATTTTAACATACTCGAAAATAAATATCCAACCGGTAATTGGGGGGAAAGGGATTGTTAGTAATGGAGACTAAGAATCCCATTGCTAGCAATATACCCAACCAGGTCGACCTCCTCGCGGTTCTCCCCGGAAACTATCATGGTTAATTCCTGATGAATTCATCATGATGGGCTATCTGGCCTGTTTTCATTCTCATCAATCACCCTTCACTGGTGTCCCGCCAACGTATCCCGTTAGCGCAGGCAGGGTTACCATTTTTACCCATCAAAAAAAAAACCGGTATGGGCGATAGCGATGTCCGGAGGAACCTAATATAGATATCGGATTAGTATCCATATTACCCATGCCAAGTTATAATACTATCACATATATTTTCTATTAATACTACACAATCCACTAAGTCATCAGTACGATTTACTGAAATAAAAATAAAGTATATTGATTGCTTGGTCTTGAATCTATTGTATGCTCTGACTTATACAATGAATTTAGAGATGAACATACTGTTCTGTGCTCTGCACAATAGAAATGGTAGGTCTTGTTCCATCTAGTCTAGCTCTTTTTTCCATAGAAACAGATTGAAAAAAAAAATATACAAGTGTATAACATTTGTATATGTTGAATGCAATTCAGCAACTAAATAATCTAGATAGCTTTGAATACATTTACCTTAAACGAAAATTATAAAAGTAAAGAAGAACAAAGCAAAACTCACTTTGAGAGAAGTCGAGTTGCTTTGAGTCGAAACTACTAAGTTATTTGCACAACTGACCAGATTTTTTTAAACAACAAATTATTTTATTTTATTAAAATATCTTTCATCAATGCCTTTGTAGTTTATAAACTTTACAATAAAAACAATGTCGAAGACTGAAAATTGAACCCGGTCTTAAGTCACATATATTTGAAAGATATATTTGCAAAATAGTTGAATTTTATTACATAATAAACTAGAAATAATTAAAAAATATTATAAGAATTACTCCAACATACCTACTCTAATTTAAATAGACACACGAATAATGGAATATACTTTCTGGCCCGACCGAGACTGGAACCTTGGACCGAGACCACATTTGTATGACAATGGAATATTTTTTAACATGCATTATGAATTATAAAAAAAAAAAAATATTATTCTTATATTATTCTTATAAAAAAAAATATTATATTATTATTAGTCTTTACTCTCAATTTAGGCCACTTTTAATTGGCTCCATTGACTGTAAGTTTAGTTTAAGCCTTTACTAACGAATTACTGGTCCAATCAAGTCTATATATACATTTATATAGAAAATCTATATTTGCATAACAGTCGAATACAGTCTTACACATATATTAATAATGTATTTTATCGTATAATCTTTACACATATAACAAAAATATAGTATTTGCCATTACTCTTACTTAAGGTCACTAGAAATGTAAAATAGTTAATGTCTCGTGCGAGAACAAATCATGGACTAATTATATGTGGTTTTTTTAAATTATTAAAAAAAAACATTCTAAAAATATTATTCTCCATTGCCTTTTGTATTCTATATTGCCTTAGTTTAGGCAAATAGAATTGGAAGATCGCCGATAATTGAGACACCTCTTCAATGTGACTCTCGGTCTTCAAATGACGCTGGAGTTTTTTCCAGCCCTTGATGCAGTGATTGCAGTATCCGCAGTGATACAATCCAGAACTCACCTAAATCAATTAAAACTTTATTAGTTTTATTATATAAATACGAGCTAGTACCCGCAACTATGTACACATAATCGGGATAAAAAGTAGCTCAAGTCCAATAAAAAAACATTCTTAGTGATATGTTCAATCGTTAAAGTGCATCTTTCGCGCTCACTTTCGCATTTATAACATTATTAAAAATAAGGATATCTTGTATTTACCAGTATCCAGCACAGCAGGGGGAAAGGAATTCTTATATATCCCTTGGTCATTTCTTGTGGAATTCGTCATGATTCCTAGACGGGGTTACCATTTCATTGTCATTAAAAAAAACAACAAGATACAGTCATAGAATCTTGTGAACGCTTGGTGCAGATAATCAGTGGTATTTTATCGGCAATTTTTATCACTACAATATAATTGTCCCTTTTAATTTTCTCTCCACGATAAGAACACAATGATATTATAGGCATGTTCAGAAATTTACTTTTAAACAAATCTCCTTAATTGTTAGAAATATGTTAACCACATTCAGAGATTTTAGACACAAATGTAGGTACTGTTTCATCATAATAATTAATTTTGTTATTCTAGTATAAGATCTAATTCAATGTTTTAGTCTACTTACCACTCTAACGAATTCATTATTTAAGGATGTTACTACAGGAATATCCTTCAAAAGTGAAGCATGCAAATGGGATTTTACGTGTGCTGGAATTTGACCTTCAAATAAATGAACTTCGCAAATATGGCATCTTAATTTGTAGGTGTCAATTGGAGTCAACATAAAAAAACTTAACTTCGGTAAAAAAAACTTATAGTTTATGATAGCAAATTTCTCTGTCATCGTAACATCTTCGAAAAACTTATTAGACTGCAACGTTTTTATTGAGGCCATTTCATGTTTTATTAAAACTGCTTTATGTTTTGCACCTTTTACATGTTCTTTCATAGAATTTAATGATGAAGGAATTCTAGTTAAACATATACGACAGTACACATTGCGGTTATTTTTGTTATATGTCAAATGATTCTCTTTTGCATATGTAATTAGGTCAGTGTTAACTTTGTTAAAATCCTCATCGATGTCTGTAATGTCATCACAAGATCTCTGTTGTGCTTGTTCCTCTTCATTATTGTTGTCTTGTTTTTCATTTTCAATCTTATAATAATTATTTTTATTATAATAAGGAACAACTGGTGCACTGACATAGTTTTTTGTACTTTCATCCGCTACTGCAGATAAGTTTCCCTTCTCCTTATTTTTATATGGTTTATTTATCCTTGCGTCACATTGAAAAGGCACATAATCAGATACAAATCTTTTCGTATCTGTATGTCTCTTTCCTTTAATATGGTCGTTAATTGATTCAAATTCGAAATTAACATTTATAAAACATTTCTTACAGAATGCTGTTTCTGTTTCGAAATTTATATTAACTTCGTTTTTTTCGAATGTTTGCACAAATTGTAATATTTTATCTAAATTTATTTCTTTAAAAACCATATCATCTTTATTTGTGTTTAAATTAATTTCATTAAAGGAATCAATATCATTTCGTTTATCTATGTAGTTAAAGTCAGAGTTTTCAAATTCTTTTGTTTCAGGCATATTAGCTGCTTGATTTGAGACTGGTTTTATAATCGGATCTTTGTGTATTTTCTTTTTAAGTTTTACAGGCGGTATATTAGCATTAACAATTTCGTTAATAATATGTAGTTCGGTTTCATTTTTTTTATTAAATTCCTTAAAATTTTCGATTGTTTCGTTATTGTTTAAAAAAACAGAATATAACTCACTGCATTTTTTTATTCCCTCGCGATGAATTGCCTCATTAAAATGTGATTCAACGGAATTTGTAGTTAGTATAATGTTGCACGTCAAACACTGGTATGTGTTTTCATCAACCTGAAATTATTGTATAAAAATAATTGGAGCTATGTGGAGAGGATGTAGAAAACTTCACGTTACCTGGAATATTAATATCACAGGGAAATTTTCTATTTTTAGTATATCAATAGTGCCCACTCCCCTGGATAATATAATGTTTAGATAATTCTATTGTAGATATGATCAATATGCTACTCAATTGATGCATCAAGTAAGTACTTTTAATTACTATAATATAATTTGTGTCAAGACACAATAAATCACATTGTAAGATTTATCGTAACTCGAAACTCATGTGTTTCATACCAAAAAGAGTACAAAAGAACCCTTATGATGCGACTTTGTCAGTGCTTTAGTCTGTCAAGGCGCTATATCTCAGTATTATTAATACTATTAATTTTGGTTTGGTTAAAATTTTGGAATCGCCTTGCCTAGTATTATATTATCCGTGGTTTTACGTATAATATTGAAAAAACTATTATTATTTTCTTTACTAGGAAGTTCAAGAGTGGTACTCAAAATTCCTTATTTGATCTTCTAGTACAAGTGGGATATCATATAAAAGGGCTATTATATATATTTTGTATATTTTAAAACTGATCTTTATTTATTTCTATACTGCGTAGTTTTTTCAGTTATGAGGCTGAAAATGTAAGAAAAAATCTATTCTCTCCCCTTATCTACGAAATTTCTGAAGCGAAAAATCTGAAATAATTACGGTTTACAACTACAAAAATAAAAAGATGTTTCTAACTATGATTTTGACAAATAAAAAAAAACTCTAAACACAAACTTAGTTATGCGGTCCAGTTAGTAATTATGACAATTCTAATCCAAATTAAGAAATTACGAATTATAATAAAGTTAATAAAAATACTGTCAGATGACTATTTCGTATGAGAAATATAATGATGGTCATTTTATCTCATATTTATGTACCGAAACCTCAGCGTGTGAGTTCAACTCGCGTCTGACTCGCCTTTTTTAGATACGTAGATACCCTGATCTGTAAGAGATTTATAGGGCAATTTGCATGATTGTTTTACTTAAAATTGGTTTATTTTCAGGATAATATCTAGTTTAATTTTGTTAAAAATTAAGTACCTAAGTAGGTTGTTTTGTATTAGACAAATAGATGCTCTTTATTGTTTCCTCCAAAAGATTACAATAGTAAACTTATTATAAATAGATACAAACAATTTTAAAAAATGTTCACACTAAGAAAACAATGTGCGGCCTTATCGCTAAAAGTGATCTCTTCCAGGCAACATTTGCATAGAGAGGAGTAGTTATAAACAGTAACAGTATTAGTATCTAATATTAAATATATTAAACCCATATTATATTCTCATCTCATATAACATTAGAACTTAATCATAAACGCATTCACTTACGATAACATTAATTTGGTAACTAACATACTTACCAAACGATAAATGACTTTGTGGGGTCCAAACACAATTTTCTTCTGAATTAAATTTATAACGTGTGAAGTTTTGGTCCTGTGAATACCTTCATTATCGAATTCTGTAATGCACACGCTACATGTGTTATCTTTGAGGCCATGCCATGATTTGATGTCGATTATCAGCTCATTGTAGGCGATAATGTGGTTTCCCACACGTTTTAAGACATTGTAATTTTTGTTTGCTATGTGTTTCTCGTCTTCAACATGCAGAGGTACTTTGGATAACATCGGAAACAGTAAATTGCACAATTCGCAGTAGTATCCATTTAGAACCTGTGATTGACAAAGTTTAATGTTTAATTAATAAAGTTTAATTTTTTTACTACTACTACTACTACCTCCCTACTATGTATAATCCCGCTATTTCGTGTGGATTTCAAAATGTGGTAACATCAATTAAATAGACCACTTCTAGATGGTCTACAAAGGTTAAAACATATACCAAATTTTAAATTTAACCTTCAGGAACATAATTATGAAAGCCGCATCCTATTTGGTGCAACAGTTTTTGCGTGATGCCAGAACAAAGATACAATGAAAAATCATTTTATAGCGGTTTCTATACAAATCATTGAATTTATTTACTTATAATTTTATATAGGATGTATTTATACATCTAAACTTTCCATAAAATATATTTAGTTGGCAGTGAAACCCATCATCCATCTGCTGAGTGGTTTAGAAGTAAATTGAGACACTATTGTCTACAGTGAAGCAGTCATGCTTGTAAGTGTGGCAGTATTTCTGTTTGAAAGTTGAGATTATGTCCACTGTTAGACATAAACCTTCCGCATAAGGGGTTTTGCCAGTAGTTGCCACGCTTGCCAAGGGGATTGGTTTTAAAAGGGACGCTGCTGCCCGCCCTTCTTAGTCGCTTCTTACGACACCTACGGGAAAGGAAGGGGTGGCCCGTTCTATGCCGGGGCACACAAGGTGAAAATTGGGATATACTTAGAAGTGAAATTGAAGAGTACAGAGGTATAACACCTTAGTGTTCTCATATATAGTATAAACAACACATAAGTGGTGCTATGATCTTTTTTGTAGTGTTCATAATTCTGTTCGTGTCTATAGGTGACGGTTACCATGTTCTATCACGTGGGCCATCAGCCAGTTTGCATTTCCAATATATGAAATGTATATTACTTACCTTTTTAACATGATCTTCTTCATATTTCTCGACATAGATCGTTTTAGAAAAGTTCTTTTTATGTATGGGCAGTGTAATGTGAGCATCTGCGTCGTCAGCACTTTTCAAGTAAGTGTTACAGACGAGGCAGAGCATATCCAAATTTCCTGTCATTATATTATTCATATGATACTTTTCCATCATGTTGATCTAAAAATAAAAATGAACTTCACAAGTATAGAAGGAGAAACTGATTAGGTATATGAGAACTTGGAACAGATCCCTATGAAAGGATATTTCACAATTCTTCGTATTGTTACACATTATATACATTACACTTTATCCATTATAAATACAAATCTTAACATCTTGTGCATAGAAAGCGGCCTTTAATGATGATGATTAACAAACGGTTTTGATTCTGTTAACGGTTTTTATGCCTTTCAAGACGTCATGGACACAAAGTTCGACATCACTCGCTAATGTGAAAATAATAAAAAAGATTAATACAATACTAACACACGCAAAGTTTATACAATTTTCTATTGAATAAATTGTTTTTATAAATAAGGTTGGACTGTAAATGTGTTTTGTATAATAAGGCGATGCAGTGCGGAACGAGAGAGCGGATTGTAATCGAACGAATAGACTGCTCACTCGGAGCATCATACCTACAGCATAATAGGTACCTAAGTACTTAGTTATGTCAGGGCCGGAATTAGTTTACTTGGCGCTTGTTGGTGTATTAAAAATATTGGGGGGAGAGGGGATGGGCTTCTCCTTAAAAAAGGCGCATACGTACTTATACACATGTCTTTGGGAAACTATACTCACATTCTAAGGTATGCTCTGCGATGATCAATGGTGCTATAAACATGCATTTTTTAATGGGTGAAAATGGTATGGTAACCCCGCCTGCGCTAACGGGATACGCTGGCGGAGCACCAGTGAAGGGTGATAAATGAGAATGAAAACAGGTCAGTTAGCCCATCATGATGAATTCATCAGGAATTAACCATGATAGTTTCCGGGGAGAACCGCGAGGAGGTCGATCTGGTTGGGTATATTGCTAGCAATGGGATTCTCAGTCTCCATTACTAACAATCCCTTTCCCCCCTATAAACTTGCATTAGTGCCCCTAAGGAAAGGTGTAGGTTTCGAGCCCTTCCCTCAATCATTAAATTCCCTTAGTCGCCTCTTACACACCCATGGGAAAGGAAGGAGTGACACATTCTATGCCGGGACCACACTTCTAATGGTACGACTTAGTTATACCCTTATCCAAATGCACTACATAATTCTCACTATAATTACGGAGGTTTCTCCTTATATAAATGTATGTTTACACCGAGAAAATTTAATCCATATATTTAATAGTAGCTACGTTATTTGACACCTTGTTTGAATCACATTAATAAAACAACTAATTTGATTGTTCAGCACTTTCCATAGAGTTACATTGTATTGTTTCAATTCTAAGAATCAGATAACACAACGAATGCCAGGATTGTTACGGCGATAACAAAGAAAATCTATTAGAGTTTTATTTATTAACACAAATACCAAGTATGGTATTTGTATTAATAAATATACTAAATATATAATAAAGTAATACTTTATTGTAAGGTATATGTCAAAATATAATGCTGACCATCACAAGCGACATAATTTTTATATTAAAAAGCCTGTATGCCTGTCATGTTTTTATACAATGTATCTTGTTTCATGTCATGGTGGTGTATGGATTAATTTAGAAATGATATATTATATTATATATATATTATATTATAATTCTTGTATATCTATTGTTTTAATTTACAATGTCATATAACCATTTATCCATAATTTTCTCCGTGTGACCAGGATTTTTTTTAATGGATGATAATGGAATGGTTACCTCGCCTACGACATTGGTATACGCTGGTGGGGCACCAGTGTGGAATGATAGATGAGAATGAAAATCTAGGTCAGTTAGGCCATCAGGATTTCGGCACGATGGTTTCGGGGGGGGGGGGGGGGGGGACGTGGAGTTAGGCCTGACAGGGTATATTGCTAGCAATAGGAGTGATGACCGGGATAAAAAGTGGCCTATATCTTTCTTCATCCGTATAGTATGTGTATAAGAAATTCGTAGTGATTGGTTAAGCTGTTATGGTGATATAAAAAATTAATTAATTTTTTACATTTATAATATTAATTATTATATTTACAATAGAAATATATGTAAAAAAATATGGTTAGTGTTTCTATATAATTAATTGTACCTATTATAAAAATATTGTTATAAGTTTTCCTAATAATTTATTTTTTTTTTTAATTTTACAAGATTGTAAATAGCTGAACTGTTTTTGACTGAACCTTTTTGATTAACAATGACTAATAATTCGTATTTTTTTTAGATGACAATGGAACCTCCCCTGCCCTAATGGTATATACTGGTGGGATATCAGTGAGGTATGATAGGTGTGAATGAAAAAGCAGGTCGGTTAGCCTATCATGATAAATACACTTGGAATTCAACATGATAAGTTTCCAGGGGACCGTAGGGAGGTCAACATGACAGGATATTCAAGAGCAGCAGGTCTTAATAATGGAGTGGTAACCCAGCTTGCGCTAACAATATATGCTTGCATAGAACCAGTGGTAGAAGCAGGTACTGACCTATGGCAGCAAATTCATTTAAAATTAACCAGATTAGTTGGGGTGAAAGAGGAATATTTTATTAGGAATGGAATCTAACAGACCCGTTGCTAGTAATATATGTTATTAAGTAGACCTCCATGCGGTTTCCCTTAAAAACCATCATGGTTAATTATAGTCGAGTTTGTCACAATGCATACCTGCTTCATACTAATCTATAACGCTTTACTGGTACTAAATCATTGCACTGATTGTGCAGGTGGGGTCACCATTTCATTTTCACTCCTTATAAAATCTATAATGGTTTTCAAGGTAGTGTGTGGAGACTGACCCGAGTATATTGCTAGCAATAAATCATGTCAATCGTTAGTTTAACAAGTCAGTCACAACTCTTGAATTTAAAAAAAATTATAAGAAACTTCAAATATGAGAAGACAATTTTAGCATAGCATTAATGGGTATCCTTAATAGTAGCTGTCCTTCAGGTACTTACCGTGACCACAGATATTATAATACTTCCGTTAAAAAATAAAATTAAGGTACATAATAGCATAAATTAGTAAGGATGCAAACCTGACTTGTGTTTAATGTATTGACGTCCAACTTTGACATGATATACGTATAGATGACGTGGATATAAGCAACAAAAAGTAAAGTGCTATAGTTTTATTGTTACAATTATTGCGTTTGTACATATTATATATAATTGAAGTCACATAAATAGTTCAGTAATTCAACTTATTTCAAGAATCATAGAAATATGGCACTAACTTTAGAATTACCTATTTAAATATAACTTACCTATAATGGTACACAAGAATCTTGAAACAATCAACAATGATGAAGAAACTATTCGCACTGTATTTTTAAAAATTCGTGAAAAATGATACTATTATGAAAAAAAAAACATTTTAATGAGAGTTAAAATTATTGCGACACGTATATAAATAGATATAAATGAGTAAAATAATGGTAAAGAATGACAAAGCAAAAAACAGAATTTAAAACAGGTAATAATGTAACTACAATTTGGAGGAATCCCCTGATAAAGATCATCAAAGAAGCCGTTTCTATTCTTTGATTTTACGGCTTTGGATACAAACTATTGAACCTCTGTGAAGCTGTCCGAAAGGACAAATAATAAAAAAAAAAACTAGATGTCGTTGTACATACATATATATGTAGTTACATAAACTATGCAAAAGAAGTAGGTACCTACTGGTAAAAACAATGATTTTATTCTATAACCGGTTTCATGACAATGACTTGAGTATTCAAAAGCTGCGAATTCATTTATGCTAAGCGATAGCTTGTTTCAAGGCGTGTATTGTCGTCTCTTGCCGTTCTGACTTTGTTAAAGATGTCTATACAGTTATCCGCCATTCTCTCAAAATTATTAATTTAAATACATTTGAAGTGCTGAAAACTGCATTTTCCTTAGAATAAAACTTCGTTAACAAGTTGAACCTAGCTATAAATTTATGTTTTTCCAAATAGGCTCTGTCAAGCAATGATGGAGCATTGAGTGAAAATGCTGTACGTCAGTCTGAGCGATATTCAAATGACTTGTACGAGCTACTGATTATTTGTTCAAAGTAGTTTGCATGCATACTGCCAAATATTATTATTCTATTATATACTTCAATTTCTAATAGCCAAGATTTTGAACCGGAAAAAATCAATTGAATCAATTAAAAAAATCTTAGCTGCTCTCAGATTAGAAAGATTAAACCATTTTATTCATAAAAACGTCAAAGCTCTCATAAAACAATGTCATTTATTAAAGTTTTTCTTCTTTTCTTTTGCACTAATTTCTAAGTTTGAAATATAATGATAAAACACTGTAGTATCTAAAATAGGTTAGTAAGACGTTATAGTTTTTATGAATAAATGTTAAGTCTAAATACAATTTCATTTCTCGTACCTATACAATGTGTAATTTGTTTTTGTCTCTTTTTTGTGACATCATTTCCAGTCTGTTAAAATGTAAGTACCTTAGACATAGAAAATAAATTTTCAGAATTTTTTCAGATTTTTTACTCGTTAAGTGTATTAAATCTGTTTTATAGTAGTTCCTGCGACAATGTTAATTGCCATTAAAAAAATATCTTACGAAGTTGGAACGCAGCTAACTTCAAGTTAATACGTTTTCGTTTCGCTCTCCACTATTTACGACCAATCCATGAAGAATGTAATAACTACATTATAAGAGTTGGCAGTAGCTTCATAATTTCTACACACACAAAATAGCACACAAAATTGGTAAATGAATGAATATTCAGTGTTTGGCATTGGTAAATCACTATGAATATATAGACTGTGGTCTATATATGCGTCTATTCAAAATATCGATACCAATTGTTGTTATAAAAGACTTATTTTATAATGATAAATTTTCAAAATTATCGAAAACGTCTACAATAAAACAAGTACCTGTATAATGTTTAGTTACTTTATATTTAACATATGATTAAACGCTACGGCATAAAGTAATTCATTAATTATATAATACATGCATTCTATTTAAACTTAACAATACTAAATTTAATGTTTATAAACCGATTCAAACCTATTGAATAATTTCAATAGTACTAAAAATGTTACATGTTATTTGAATAAATTTAATTCAATATAATTAGTCATTTTATTATTAAGAATATAAATTTATTTATAAGCAAAGTGCTATTTTTGAAATGGCGTCGTGATAATTACTTTCATAATATCTATTCTAGTGACTACAATTCGCCACGTAGTGTCCTAATATTGGTTGAAAAAGGTGACATAGTTTCATACAAAAAAATGTTCGTTTCAAATGACACAGGCTCATACCAACCTATCTACGTACCTATCTATGAATCGTTTCCTCTCTGTCTCAGTCTTGTCCTACCTCTGTTATGACTCAGTTTTTCTACGGATAGTAGTTTTATTTTTTTTCCATAATTTAACACGGATAGATGTATCGTTCTTTTCTTCTCACCATTTCCTCGTACCAGTATTAAGTTCCATTCTATTAAAAAATACAAATTTATTATTAAAAATGGTATGATGTGTTGTGCCTTGTCGTTATGATAAAATTGAAACACTATATTTTTATACGCATTGTTAGTTTACTCTGAGTACTAATAATAATCGTTATGGTTTTCTGATACCATGTCCCAAAGTTTTACGTGTACTAAAATGTGTGATAATGTTTGTGTTTGGTGCTTATATATTGTGTGTTTATTAATTTTATCGGCTGTTACAAAGAACGGTGTCGAATCTCACGAGCTGAGTAAGTATTTACTATTTTTGTTTACAATAATTATTTATGTAAACAAAAACGGCCTTACACATAAATATTTTTTTATTATTGGTATTTTTATTAATTATTAGTCTTATATAATAAGTTCATACTGCTATTTAGGACGAATTTTCATAAATTTTTGCATTTAATAAGTGCTAAATTCTGTAATGTCTATATAATCCAAAATAAAAAAAAATATTCATTATTTTAGTTCAAAGAAAAGAGAAAATATTCAATTATTAGAAAAATAATACAAATATGTCATTTAAAAATATTATAGTAGGTATGCGAAAAGATAATTATGAATATTTGTTTAATATTACTAATTTCTTAATAAGATTTCTTAACTTAAGGTATGGCTAGATTCATTAATATATTTTGTTGTAGATTTTTAAGTTACACTAAATTTGAAAGTCATAAAAACCCAATTTTATTAAAATCCAGTTGAGATGTTAACCAAAACTAATCTATTATTTATATGATTTTTTTTAATGGATGATAATCCCATCTGCGCTATATGCTGGCGGGGTACCAATAATGGTGATAGGTGAGAATGAAAAGGCAGGTCAGTTAGCCCACCATGACGAATCTAACAATAAATAAATCATGATGGTTTCCAGGGAGAACCATGAGGAGGTCGACTTGACAAGGTATATTGCTAGCAGTGGGGCTACTAATTCCTATTACTAACAATCCCCTTTTCCCTTTATATGAGTATTCATTTAATAAAAGGTAAACTGGGGATTCTTCATGTAACCAATGCCAGCAAAACTTTGTCTATGTACTACTATGGCTAATACTAACTTCATTATAAAATTTCATTGAAATACATTCAGCCCTTTTTTGGTCAGTGGATACCCCTAGGGGTGTCTGTTGGATTTCTTCAGTAACTTACAGGGGAATTAGCCTCCATTGGAAATCTATGATCTCTAAAATCATTATGTATAATAATTGATGAAAAAACCATGAAGGCTTTGATTATTTTACTCCTGCATATCTAATTTAGTTATTCCTCACTATTTTAACTAAGTTTATAAAAAATCAATACATTTTCTTTATAGTAGTTAATAAGAAATATATGGGAGTATCCAATGCTTACAATAGTATATTACAATATAATAATAATACAATAGTAAATTAACTAATGAAATCTAAAATAATCATCTGTTTACAAGTATGACAGTTAAGTCACATTATAAACACAAATACTTATATATTGATGCTGAAGAGACAAATTGTATTATGCGCTATTTATTGAATTTTATAGGAAGGTAAATAAACTAAATGAAATAGTGATATAATTACATAATACAGTAAATGCCTATATTATGTCATTTTCTTACTATTAATTTTGATATGTTATCTATTTATAAGATATAGAAAACAAACATGTTATTTGTAAATCAAAGACATTTCTGTAGTTAATTATTTTGTGTACTATATTGCCAACAAGAAAGGATGGGTGGCCTATTCTATGCCTGATAGTCCTTAATGAGTGTTATTTGATAACAAACAAACACACTTTCACATTTATGATATTATTGTAGTAAGGATATAAAAGAGACTGCTTTAATTAGTCTTATATTCTTGGTGAGAGATAAAATTATCATAATCATTAACAAAAGAATTTTTAAATTTCAATATCGCTTATCTATACTAATGTATAACATTAGTAGAGAGGAAAGAATTTGATTGTTTGTAATGGATAAACTTAGAAAGTACTCAACCAATTTTATAAATCATTTCACCTATAGAAAGGCTGATCAGGGAATAGTATAAGGTATATATTATTTTCAAAAATATTATCTACACATGCAAAGCTGGGATTGATCACTAGTTTATTATAAAATTATTTTACACTTAAATTACTAATAATAAAATTGTAATAAAAGTTAGTGAACTACTTAACTAGGAAATAATTAAAAACCAGTGAGTAACTATAATAAATTGTATTTATCTAATTTTCTATATTAAAAAAAATTAATCAGTCATTCAGTAGTTAAGTAAAATCTAAAATGGAGAGAAAGAGTCTGCTGTCCTTACAATTAATGTTAATAAAGTTAATAGAAAATAGAATTTTGCATTACTTAGGTACCTCTTTTAGTTTGTGAATAATCAGTGTAATTTATGGATGTCATTGCAAATATTAAGAACTAATTCAGCAGGATGTGTTATTAATAGGAGTCGCAGTGTGTTAAAAAATAATAAGACCTCGAAAGATTAATTTAATGTAGCGATTCATGATTTTACTTATCCGAGTACTAATTCTTCGACTGAGCTATTCATTGGGATCATTGGAATGTGTTTGAAATCATTCAACTAATTCCAAAGCCAATGAGTTGAGTAAACAGTCTAGCGACCCCCTGCAAGACCCGTGTACTTAACTTTTTGGCTTTTTCATTAGTTGCAACATAAAAATAGTTGAGAAACAGTGCTCTAAACCTATCTCTTTAACTATTACTAATATTTTAACACTAATATTTGATAATTATGCGAAATTACTGATTTGACATCATAAATGAAACTCATAGTAATGTTGACTTATTAAGTCAAGTTATTAGAAATTTTGTTGATATTGGTCCTTAGAATACAGATTTCACTGTGATATCAAATTGAAATTTTTATTTTTGAAATTGGTTTAGAAAAATGGCAACTCAGTCCACCTCAATTTATACCTACTTTATTAAAAGAAAATTTCATGTTATTTTAAAACTAGCAGCAGATATGGTTATGTCCTGATCAGTAAGTTATGAGAAAAACTTGAAATTGTAAATGTGTCAGAATTAAAAAGGGTCGTTAAAAATGATAGTAATGTATGGTAAAAGGCGTGATATCGCCGGACATCCCGCTGATGACCGTATCCGCTATTGCAAAGCACCATTCCACTTTTCTATTATTAGGTACTAAAGAATGGCTCAATCTTATTCCACATGATTTAATAATAATATAAATTCGTCACATTTCAACCATACAAATATCAATAACTCATTAACATTTTCTATTGAAGCCTATCCTCATGCTTCTGACAAAAATTAATATTTGCCACCTTTTGTAACTTATAGTCAATCTATTTACCACTCTGTGCATGGCTTAATTTGGCCCTGGGAATGACTTCTTACTGTACTTAATATATGTATAAAATATGTCATATAACAGTCATCATTAAGTATTCCACCGAATTGAACAATAACCACTGCTTTAAAGATAATTAAATAAATTTTAAATGATTAAAAATCTTCTAATTAAACAAAGGAGTTAAGAGTATTGTTGTTTGCACTGATATTTCCGATTATTGACATGCATTATATTTATACTACTAAAATACCTAACAAGGTACTTAATACTTAGCACATTGCACCTATATGCCTGTCCATACTCTTTAATGACATTCTTTTGCTTGGTGCGTAATTAATTCAGTCCCTAGTGTCACTACACGGAGGTCTTTTGCATGCCATATGTACAAGGGGAAGTTTATGTTAGAATATTTCTGACATGCGACTATAAAAAGAAGGGTAAGACTAATAGAGCACCCAAGATTCCTAATTAGGTATCCCATCGGAAGCAACGTTTTACACGTCACAGGCATAGACAGACAATCGTGATTTTTATTTGCGAGCTTGCAAATCACGACTTGGAACGACAAAACGTGATTCGAAATTTAAAATAAATGGTGCGATAATTTTAACGACAGTTATGTTTACTCAACATTAAACTTGTATAACTGTTTTCGACTTTACCATATACTTTATCATGTCTAACTTCCCCTACAAGAAACAAAATGTTACAATTTTTGTTAATATTCCACAATATTAATTTATTTTGATGCTCGCATCTTTCTTCCTCAAATAATAGATGTACGACACATCACCGATAGCCCAGATGGGGTTACCATAGCATTATCACTCATTAAAAAAAAAACTGTTTTTATTAATAAAAACTTCGTCATAGAATATTAACTAAACTCTAGTTAGTCTCTGAGTGCTAGTAAGTACTGTGAGATTTCTCTAAAGTATCCCTTGATACTCCTATAGTTGGGTATTTCGGGTTCACGTTGTCAGTCGACAAAGACCCTCGAACTACGTCAACTAACACGTCTAAGCCTTAGTTCTGAACAAAAATGTAGTAAATTTAACAAGATTGGCTTCCTTAGTTATAACCTTCTTGAAGTACATAGCTGAGGCTACAGGATCTAAAGCAATGTAAATTACTACTGTGCTAGGGAGGTGTTTAATATATCAGATAAATGAATATTATGGTTGCTAATTGCCCATTGACTGTAACTAAATGTGACTCCGTCCTCTCATCATATAGTGGCGATCGTCGTACCCTACATTTGATTAGATTGTCATTCAAGACCCTTTTTATCTATTGATCTCTATAAATTACAGTAATAGATAAATTATAAAGGGCTAGCCTTCTAAAATAAAAATATTGGATATTCAGATCCGGATGACCGGATGTAGCGACTGTTAACTGTTTGATGATTCTGCATACAATTCCCTCGTGAATCAGAAACGATTCGATTTCCGATGTTCTGACTCACTGTCTAGGCCATAGATTACACATGCCACTGTATGTTATACTAAATATATGGTATGTATCTAATAATTATTATAACTGGATAATTTCTTATTTCTTTAAAAAAAAAGCTTTATTCTATTTTCATGAGAATTTCGGAAAATCGTAAGTAGGTATCAAAACTTGTAAAGAACTTCAAATGCATGCACCATCTATAATGTTATTTTTTGTCAATTCGCTATACGTCTTCTGTTTTGTATTTTCTTTTGATGGCGTTATATTTTATATTTTTATAATATATTTTATAATTATATTTTATATATTAGGCCAAAATAGACATGTAAAGTTACATACAGTTGTGACTTTTATTATTAAATCTATCTGCAATTAAGAAAGATGGAGTAATTAGCCACAAAGTTTTGAAAATGTAATAGTGATAAATATAAATAAGTAGCGGTTTGCAAAGTTAC